GAAGCCGTCGTATTCTTACCGGGCCTCGAGGGACTCGTCTCCGGACACGTGCCCCCACATCTTGAGCGCATACGCATGCATCATGTCTTCCGAACTTGATTCCTGGTTCTGCAACGCAACAAAACAGCCATCAGCAACGGTCTCATCAGTGCTGTAGGATACAGAACAGGTTCCGCACCTTTCCGTCCGCCGACGCGAAGAGCCCATGCGCCCAGCTGTGCCCGTGATACCAGTCAAAGTTCCTCCACATGGGAAAGTACTTGTCGTCCTGGCTCGGGTTGGCTACATCTCGCACCAGGCTGTTGACATAGTCTCTGTTCTCCTTCACCCAGTCGCCATCGAGATGTCCGATGATGGCGGCAGCGAGGATATGGTACCCGTAGTGAAAGTGGTGGTCATTGTACAGCGTATTGCCAAAGTCAATGAGCAAGTCGCCCGTCGTATAAGTCGCCGACGACACAACGCCGCCCCAAGCACCTAGAGCAGTCAGAGGGATACTTCATTCTTCGGCGCGAACGAGGACGTGTGCCACTCACTGTCATAGCATAGCGGGTGCTTTTGTTCATTGGCTGCGAAGATTCCAAATACCTTCTTGAGCTTCTCAAGTCCACTTTGAGCCATGGCTTGATCCTTGAGCAAATCGGATGCGACATATACAAGGAGGGCGAACTTGGCAAGGGCCTGCGTAAGACTGGTGATTAGCATCGAATCCGTCCTTGTGTCGCCCTTCACCACAATGCACGCACCTTTCCGCCAAAGTACATTGACTCCATTTCGCCCTCGGTAGCCACGTCCGATCCCAGTTCCCGGGTGGCCGCCGCCCGAATGAGGACCTTTGCTTCGTCTGAAATCTCCTTAACCGTCCCGTTCATGGGATGCCACGGTGCAAATTCCAACCCGACCGGCATCTCCGGCTCGACCATGGTCCACGTGTCTCCCCTGACGAGGTTTGCCACACCCTTGGTCGGCGTTTGTAGTTGAATTCTCTGGAGCTGCTCCGCAGTCTCGCGATCGAACGACTCCACGTGGTGGGGAAGGGCGTACATGTACAGATTCCCGGTTTCGTGGCCAGACGTTTGAAAGTGGAACTGGTACCATCCCTTCTTGCCGGCAGTAGACCCGGTCAATTCAAGAGAGACCGGGTAGATACCTGCACCGTCATCGAGAGCCTGTTCCGATCCGGGAGTCATCGGGTCCTTGGCGATCTGCAGGACACCGCTAAAAGGCTTCCGCGAGACCGCCATTCCGTTGTTCATCACGTCTAGGTCCAAGCCTTCGCCCTCCGTCGCCCACGCGTACAGTCGCCAGGTTGCGCCGTCCTCCAGGACAATGGTGAACTTGCTCAAGTTTCGCTTCAGGTCCTTGGAGAACTTGGTCACCGACCTGAAAAAGACTCCGGTCTGGATAAGTGGCGTAGCTCCGTGATATACCGACGTAAGATAGGGCATTCCCTGGGCCAGAGAGAAGGAGACGATCGGAAGCGTCACGCGGCTTGTGCTGAGGTGAACCCTGGAGGAGAAGGCAGTTATGCTGTCCATCGATACTGTGGTGTCATTTCCAAGCTCTCTAGCTGAGAGCGCAAGTGATTCTATCCCGACAGGATTGAGGTAATATGAGGAAGCAAAGAACTTCTCCTCGCCAAATACTCGCTGGTGGGCCTCGATATGAGAGCAGACCATGCCCCAGGTTTTCGTCACGCCCGTACCACCGCCCCACGTTATTGAATAAGGGAACGTGTAGGTTGGCGCTCGCTGTTCCGCCAGGAAGAAGTTGGAATAGAATTTGTTGGTCTGCAGCGGGGCCTGTTGCATGATACCTTTGCGAGGGACCGGATGGTCCTGCTTCACCTCCATCATGGATGGCGGAGGCTCCGTGCCAACCGCATCGGCAAATATGTTGCGGGCGGGCATGGCGGAAGTCAGAGGTGATGGAAAGGCTGAATATGTTTTTCAAGGATTTTGGTGTTGAACCGCCAGCTGATACAGATGTGGGTGAGGTCGTATGCGTGGCTTTGACGACTTGTGGCGCCGTATTGTTGAGCGCCCTGAAGACTCGAGGGATCAACGATGAAGGCGCTGGGCCAGATGGCTCGCCACGAATGCGTCCGCTGTATTCCAGGGTCGGTGGAATTGAGATTGAAGGCAAGAAGGAGCCGCAAGCTAACCGAGACCATGTCAGCATCACAATTCTCCTGAGTACGTGGCCAAGTGCCATCGTAGGGGTATTGATGGTGTCGGATAAAGGCCTGCCAAGCTACTACGGTAGAATGCTTCGGAAGACACCAATTGGTCTCGTACAGATGCCATAATTTGCTCCATTTCAGACTCATCTATGAGAAGCCGCAGATCTGACGTATGTGACTCAAAGTAGTGTAGATGATAGCAGGAAAGACGAAGCATGAGAGGCGTATGTTCCAAGGTGATGTGTGCCAGGCTTGGAAGGAGCCACGAGATGTAGGGAGAGGGTCTGCTGATGGTAGATGGGTGGAAATGCATGCGAATTTTGGCAAACATGGAGTATGATACCACGTTTCAGAGGAGTTGTAATTGGGAGGAGGATGGCCGGCCATGACGACGAGCATCTGGGGCTTCATGTGTCTGGCTTGCTAGAAAGGAGGAAAGTGCTACCCACCCGTACTGCTCACTAGGGACTTGTGCGGGATTGTGTATATTCAGCCGCCGCATATGCGAGAGCGTCGTACGTACCTCCTGCGACTGAACGGTAGAGTTCGGATAAGCAGCAATTGACGCGAACGATCTGGGTAGTTGGGGCATAAAACGCCCGGTAGATGCAGGCTCAAAGTCTTGCGTGGAGGGGGAGGGGGATGTGGGGATACCTAATTTGCGGTGTTCAGCTGAGGCTTCCCAGACCATCCCTTCACGAGCTCGCTTGAGCGAATGCAGCCGTGACACCACAACGCAAGCCAAAGCGTCTGGCCATCTTGCAAGGGCCTTCATCTTACAATTGCGTTCGTGCTCGTGAGATCAATGCCTCGGTCGCGGTGCGTCCCTACTTCCACGGTATGACGTAAAAGCGATCAATGTCAAGGCTGCACGTACGTTGTAGTGGAAGACGAACAAACCGCGTTGCAGTGCAATGACTATTAATACTAGGTAAACCCGAAATAGCGTACATCATATGAAGGCATATCCCCATGCGTCTCTTTTCCGACCTACAGCCCCAGAGTACTGTAATGGCCCCTCGGCAGGTCGCCACGCTGAACCAGCTCTCGAAGATTCCTCGGCAGTCTTTCGGGAGACTCAGACTCCCTCTCCCGGACGGGCTGCTTCTTTCCCATAGCAGGCTTGCTCCTGTAGGCATTCTTGTGGTCCAGTGACGTCTGCGCGATTGCCTCCCGGAGCCGCCTGGCCTTGCGCTCGGCAGCTCTCTCCTCCTGCTCCGCCTCCTCGCGGCACCGCATAATGTCACCCTGGTCTAGGATCCACGGCTTTCCGAGCACGTCGCGCTGGAACTTGGCCCTCTTTTCCCACAGCGCCAACTCTTCCGTTGTGCCGCTCAGGACGACCATCCTTTCGATACTGATCTGCAGCTCTTTCCGGAAGGCGGTGAGACCGCCCTTCACGTCGACGACGGAGCCGACATCGATCCCCGCGTAGGGATAGGGTTTCATGTCTGTGTCCCCTGCCCTTCCCGAGTTACTATCATTGCTGTGGTTGTCGTTGCCGGCCGGCACTGCCGCGCGAGTCGTATAAGGTGTGACCGTCTCGATGCACGCTCCGCTGCTGTCGTCGACCGTGAAGACGCGTCGCCCGGAGAATTCGTCAATCGCTACTACTATCCCCACGATGCGCACCCATCTGACTGGCAGGTTATTGTAGAAGTAGATGTCCTGACCTGCGCATGCGGTTAGCGCTGCGCTGCAGGAGGGGTTGGTGGAAAAGGCATTACCTTCATAGTCGGGATGCGTTCTCAGACGACGGATGTCTGCCACCCGGAACATGCACCATGCGTTATAAGTCGGGGATAGGTTGAAGCAGCATCGTGGATAGGTGTTGGGACCACGCGAGACGTCACTCATGGCATACTGTCGAGGCACCCTCAGGATGGCCGCCTTGTTCGCGTGTTGCCTTTGTTGGTCATGCCTCGTCTTTCGCGTCGAATGGGTAGGCGCGGAGTGGCATCGCTGTCCGGCAGCGTTGAGCCACGGTAGGCGTGGATGTGATATGCTCGGGAGTGGGTTCGCTTGGCTGTGGAGTTTAGTATTAATACGCCGTAGAGATGACACGAACTGATGCCCCGCTAATGTCCATCATAGCCATCAGCGGCGTACATCGGTCCTGAATCGGAGCCCGTGGGACTTTTCTTCTTCTTCTGCATCTACGATCGAGTCCGATGAACTTTCTACGTTTCACTCTTCTGATAGATAGTGATCATGAGCAGCAAACAATATTGTGTGTTCTCGCGGCCCTATAATAAACTGCCCGGATGTGTAGTCCTAAATCCCTAAATGAACAGACCCGTGTCATCGTGAGAAGACGTAAAAAGAAAAAAGAAGAAAAAAACAAAGACCGGATACTCCTAGCCTAATCTAACTCCAAGTAAATGCTTTCCGTGCATAATCTGGTTACAGTTTTCATCTGCCCTTCACTTCTTGGACCTAGGTCCAGTCTGGCGCGGCGGCGTCTGGGGGAGGGGCTCTTCCCTCGGCTTCTGGGCCGATTTCTTCCTAGCAGCCGTGGCGGCAAAAGCCTCCTCAGGTGGCTCATCCGGCAAGACGCGCTTCTTTCCCTTCTTTCCTCTCTCCTGGGCGCCGTACTTCTCGGCAATGCGATCAAGGAAGTTGTCCGACGATCTATCCTGCTGCCTCTTCTGGATCAGGGAAGCGAGCGCGTCCTCGGAGGAATCCTTCTTCTTCTTCTTGCCGCCAACCTTGGCCGGGGCACCCTTCTTGTCTCCGAAGAGCTTGTCGTAGACACCCAACTCCTTTGCATATTCCTCCGCCTCGACGGCCTCAGCCTCCTTCTGCTTGACGGCCTTTTTAGCGCGGGCGGCTGCGGTCTTCTTGTTCTCCTTCAGGTAGGGCCTGAAGGCGGGCACCTCCCTGTTCGCGATGGCCTCGTCGATGATCCTGCGAAAGCGCTCGTCGTCATCGACGGGGTCACTGAGAATGACGGTCTCGTAGATCATATCCATATCGCCCTCGAACAGCTCAAAGGCGGCTAGTAGGTCTGACTTCTCGTCCTCCGAGCCCTTGTACTGTTCGGCGAATTGTTCGATGGCGTCGGCGTTGACGGCGTCCTTGAATTGGGATCGGTAATAGTCACTCCAGTCGAAGCCGTCAGCGTCGACGATGGACTCGGATGTCGATCCCGTCTCGTCATACCGCTTGCGTCGCGTCTCGTCAGACAGCACTGCGTAGGCAAAGGCTATCTCCTGGAATATCTCATGGGCCTTCTTTTTCTTTTTGGGGTCGTCGGGAACCTTGTCTGTGATACGAATGAGCTGTTAGCTTCCGGGTGTTAGATGCAACGTGTGCGGACGTGGCCAAGGAAGACTATACCCGGATGATGCTTCAGAGCTGCTTTGCGATACGCCTTTTTGATCTCATCGGCAGTGCAGCTACGCTCCAGCTCTAGGACATCATACGGATCAATCACCGGCGGCACGCTATCCAGGGGCTCCTCGTAATCCGACATAGTTGTGGATCAGGGGCAGATGTTATTTTCTGTTTTGTTCTCGGGGTGGATGCGGTCGGATGAGTTTAAGAGAAAGAGGGAACGCGTTGTTGGACGCGTCGAGATAGGAGCTGCCTTGTGACGTGGGGGTTGACTGATTTGTGCACCTGTTTTTCCCTCTGTCCCCTGCGGGGTCCAATCAATCTCACAAACCACCACTCCTTCCCACCAAATTAACATCAGTCATTCATTTTACCAAACCAGCTTTCTTCAAACCTGCTGGTTTATCTATCACAGCATGGCCTCGAATCCGATGGATCACAAGGTCACCATGCGTCGCGCCTTGGATCTTGCACGCAAATCACCACCCAAGCCCACCAACTTCCGAGTCGGGGCTGTCCTCGTGCGCCTCTCTGACGGTCACATCTCTGCGGAGGGGTACACCCTGGAGCTTCCCGGAAACACACATGCTGAGGAATGCTGCCTCCTTAAGCTGGCAGAGGAGCACTCCACATCGGAGGAGCAGCTTGCCGAGTCCATCAAGGAGCTCCATGTGCTGTACACGACGGTCGAGCCGTGCTTCAAACGTCTGAGTGGCAAGCTTCCGTGCGTGGAGCGGATCATTCGGCAGAAATCTTGGATCAAGACTGTCTACGTCGGCGTCCAGGAGCCCGAGACTTTTGTCGGTCAGAACCCGGGTCGGAAGCTGCTCCAGGACGCTGGTCTTGAGGTGGTTGCCGTCGAGGGCCTAGAGGAGGAGATCCTCTCCGTTGCCACGGCTGGCCATGTCACCTCCGATGCTTGATCCGACGGCTCCGCTCAGACAAGCTCTATCTTCAGGCCTATTGGACGTGATTGCGCTCACTGCGTCATCGGCGTCGGGACTATGAAGTTGGATCCTGTGTCAATCGTGAGGTCTGGAAACTCGCCTATTACGCCCCGACGCGGGAAACTAAAGAAGCCTTCAGGGGGGGTCGAGCCAGTATGATGCTGACAATAGGCCTGTCGCGGGATTTGCGCGGCTCCTAGACCTCAGTCATATTCGGTTTCTGGGCTGCAAACCTAGCACGCTCGCTGCCGACCAGGAGGCTAGTGTCGCAAAGACCGAGGTGGAGTACGATGTTTCCAATTGATATATCAAAACACATAGGACTGCTGCACGCTGTCACAGCATCGGGACAATACATGGACCATATTTCGCTTTTCCAAACCGGATACAACCGTGTCCACTTTCGCCCACATACCGACTGCACGGTGAACCAACTCTCCTCAGCTCAGCCTAACTGGGAGAAAGAGGGCAGAGGCCACCTCCACAAGCCATAGAGCTCACGGTCCTGCCCTATGGCGCCTGGACGCAACTCCTCTGGCATGCTGCGCATATAACGGTGGAGCGGACATAGTTCTGGATGGTGACGGTCTTGCACATGGGCGTCACGTATGGCTGAAGGACGAGCTCGGGGGGCCCGTTGCAGATCCACTAGTCGCAATACTCCCACCGGCAGTGGTCAACAGCGGCGGACAAGACGTGGGTGTGACGGCCAGGATCGGGGTCCATGAGCGGGCACTGAGGATTCGTGCAGATGCATAGGATGTTGTATGCGATTCCCTGGCACATTGTTTTTTTTTCTTTCCGGTGTTGCCGGTGAGAGAGAAGGTTATGGCTGTACGGGCAGAAGTCTGTCTCTCTGCATGTCTATCTCTAGACAAAAGGGTGTTGAGTTATGCTATTTTTTCTTGTCTCGGGACCACCCGTCCTATATATTATCATATACATGTACGAAGTAATAGTTGTCGACAAATATCCTCATGCCACTCTTGACAGCAGACAATCTGTCTCCCCTCTTGGGTCGTGTGGCGCCCGAGGCTGTCAATTCTCTAACATTTCAATCACGGTCGTGAACCTTGTCCACTCCCTACGTTGGTGTTCATCTTTCAGGAGATCTGTTCGACGTAGCTTATCTGTACGACGTAACTCGCCTGTCTATTCCTATCTGTCGGGCTTCCCCAATCATCCGACAGATTCGGTGCCTCTATTGGCATTGATTCGATCTCCAGTCGCCTAGTTGAACGTGAACTATAGCAGTTAATCATGTCTGCTTGTCCCGTGATACACGGGAAGCCGCGGTAGCACACTGCACCTATTTCCGTACCGTGAATCTACCTCTCCTCCTACAAACATCTCTCTTCCGATGCTCTGTCTCTAGAACCAATCACTGCTGGCGACGGCAGAACTGGGTGAGACTGATACGATGGTCGTGGAAGGAGATTGTACAGTATTAACTTGTCCGTGTATCAGTCTGCGGTCAATCACGCAAGGCGGAATATTATCCCGTGCAAAGCTACGTTCAGCACTTGATGACATCGTATTGTGCGTACATGCATGAGGCAGCTTGGGGGACTCTATGCTACGGCGCACGCAGCATTCTGAATCACCCCTTACATGTATCGTATACAAGCGCTACCGTATATATCAACGCCCCCGTTGACCTATGGTGCTCGTAGGGCTGGAGCCCGGGGCACAGTGACTCGTCGTCCTTGAAGAGTGCCGTCCATGTCTATCTAGGACTGTCTCTGGTGGAGGTCGGCGCCCGAAGCGGCGAGGAGCATCTATCTCTCTGGCAACGATTTTCAACGTCCAAGGGCTGCCGCAGTCGGTGCGAAACTTCCCGGTGTGAAACTTTCTGAAGGTTGGGATGGCGCCGGACTAGGAGATATCTCCGGGATCGGTTGCTTGTCATGTAGGTAGATGGCATTGTCATGTGTTGAACAAGAGGAGCACTGACGTGTAGTTGGCGGGCAGGTGTCACGTGTTGGGTCATGTCGAGCACATCGACACTGCATGAATGCATTCCCTGAGAGACGGTCAAGGCTGGACAATAAGGCTGGTAGTCGCCAGTTACCGGACAGGATACCGGCAAATCAGTATCGCGGCACGGCCCAAGGCTTCCTGTCGGATATCACATGTTCCACAGTAGCAAGTTTCATTGCGTTGGTCCATGTGTCTTTGGTATTAGTAGTAGTAGTATTACTAGTAGTGACGTCAGACGTATGCGATTGATTATGGCATCAAGCTGGATTGAGGGGAATCATCTGATGAGCGTGGATCATGCTCATGTATTGTATACATGAATGATGGAGTGTCGCCCATTTCATAGCTGATCTAGGCGCTCCTCGGGCATCCGACATAGCATTGTGAGAACAAGACTTGTTCGTTTTGCCCATCACTCTTTCCAGGATTGTCTCTTCTATTGATAATATACGATAGTATTAGTACATAGCACAGCGATACGTTACCATTGCTCCGAAAAAAAGAAACGATACCGAGATAGGATGATTATTATTTCTAGGGTAACCTAGCATAATACAGATCATGCATAACATCCCTCCTGCTGGGCCACCCCTCCATGGGTTGCAATCCTGCATGCCGCTTCTGCACACACACACACACACCATCTGGGTCATCTAACTGCAGCATTACCCTCTCACCGTCTTTTTCGAAAGACATCCTTTGTTCCAACTCTTGTCCTGCACATCCTCCTCTAGCCCTAATTGTTGAAGCGGCCTCCTTTATGGGAGGCCAGTTGTAGACACAGAGAGCTCTGCTCAGACAGCCCAAGCTTGATCGGGCCCGGACTCATTGCTATCCCTAAAATCATCACCTTTACGATTCGAGCCTCATCGTTCGTCTTAGCTTGCTTCCTCTTCTTCACCAAATGTTTGTTCCCAGTGTATTGTTTACTGATCCAGTCAATCTTTTTTCTCTGTGCACTTCCATATCTATCAGATCATACCTGATCAGCTATGTCTGACAGGAGAGGCCGTGGAGGCGGTGGAGGCCACCGTGGCGACGGCGATAGAGGCGGTGGCAGGGGACGTGGCCGCGGTGGAGCTGACCGTGGCGGAGCTGACCGTGGAGGTGGTCCTAGCCGGGGCGGTGGAGACAATGCTCGCGGAGGAGGCAGAGGAAGGGGTGACTATATAGGCCGAGGTGGAGATCGTGGAGGTAGAGGAAGGGGCGACCATGCCGGCCGAGGTGGAGATCGTGGAGGCAGAGGGAGAGGTGACTATGCCGGCAGAGGCGGAGATCGTGGCGGTAGGGGAGGCGACCGTGGACGAGGTGGTCATGGAGGACGTGGCGGTGGCGGCCCTCGCGGCCCACCTGAAATCTACGCAAGGTATTGATGTCCTGAACGGATCCGTCCTCCAATATCCCCCGGCTTCTTGTTTTCTGGTTGCCGAGACCGACTGATGGAAAATGTGCTAGCCCCCATGGACCTCCCGAGGTTGACGCCACCATCCGAAAGCTCGAGGACGATGTTCTGCAGAGGCTCCACGGATCCTCGGCTGTCGACGACCTCTCCAAGAAGGCCGGGAAGCTGAGCATAGCTTCCAAGGGCTCGTCCTCTGCACTCGCATCCTTTGATGAATATTTCCCTGTGCGCCCGTCTTTTGGGACTAATGGCACCCCCGTCGTGCTCTGGGCCAATTACTTTGCCATCAAGGTCAAGGCACCCTCTCTGTGGTCCTACACAGTTAACATCGAAGAGATGGCCAAGGACGACGGCAAGAAGAAGGCTGCAGGCCAAGTCAAGGGTCGCAAGCTTCGGCTGGTCATGGAAAAGGTCCTGGTCCACTATAGCGGCAAGACGGTCGTCGCCACCGAGTTCAAGAGCCAGCTGGTCTCCCTGGACAGGCTACCTCTCGACGTGAATCCCATCGAGATCAGCGTGCCATTCGAATCTGACCCGGACATGTCTGACTCCTTCTCGGTCACCATCAATGGCCCGTTTGAGGCCAACCTCGATGAGCTCGGTACCTACCTCCAGACCCAGGACCTCAGGGCCGACGACCACGTATTCCCGCGCTTCCAGGAGTCCGTCACCGCTCTCAACATCGTCATGGGCTTCACCCCGCGGTCAAAGAGCGACCAGATTGCGACGGTGGGCGGGTCGCGATTCTTCCCGTTCGGACCCCAGTTTGACAAGGAGAGAGCTATCCGAGACCTGCACCAGCGGTTCGGCCCGCGACCTCTCGAGGCCCTCCGTGGCTTCTTCCAGTCTGTCCGACCGGCCACGGGCCAGCTGCTCCTCAACACAAATGTGACCTGCGGCACTTTCAGAAATTCTGGAAATGCCGTCGCCATCTTCCAAAAGCTCGGTATCACCGGCGTCCCTAGGCCAAAGACGGACGACCGGCTGCGGCGTCACCTTCGAAATGTCGCCAAGATGCTCAGCAAGTCGCGCGTCTGGGTCGACGTGAAGCTGTCAACCGGTCAAATGGTTAGGCGGAGCAAGGCCATACACAGCCTGGCTACCTCCTTTGATATCCCCAGGGGCGGGGACCCTCAGAAGCCCAAGATCGACGCGGGCTTCGAGTTTGCCGCCCCTCGCAACATCAAGTTTTTCCTCAAGGAGGGAAACGGTGGCCGGTACATTACCGTCGAGGAGCATTACAAGCAGAGTAAGCCGTATAACCTGATGGCACCGATTATCCATTTCTCGTCTCCTTGTTGTTGTTGTTGTTGTTGCTAACCTTGACTGGGAAAAAAACAGAGTACGGCATGGAGCTTGGCGACTACCCCGTATTCAACCTAGGTAACTCGAAGAACCCGACCTACTTCCCCGCAGAGCTTGTCGAGATCCAGCCCGGCCAAGGAGTCAAGACCAAGCTCAAGCAGGACGAGACGACACAGATGCTCGACCACGCCTGCAACCCTCCCAGCTTCAACGCCGACTTGATCGAGAAGAACAGCCGGAGGACTCTGGGACTCGACAGCCCGTTCCTCAACGACTTTGGCATCTCGGTGGACCGCAAGTTTCTGGCCGTCGATGGGCGGAAGCTCCCGGCACCGACGGTGTATTACAAGCGGAAGGAGAAGCCCAGCTCGGTCCCTGTCGACAAGGGGAGCTGGAACTTCAAGGCGTGCACGGTGACGCGAGGAGCCGACATCAAGTCGTGGTCGGTGGTGCAGATCAAGCTGTCGGGCAACGCACGCCTGCAGTCCGAGCAGTTCCTGGACGAATTCTCCGACTTCATGCGCATGTCCGGTCTCACGGTGCCCCGGCGCACGGCCTGCCCGCGCCCCGTCCTCCAGCAGTGGGAGGCTAACGGCCCCGAGATGGACGAGGTGTTCCGGTGGGCCAAGAGCAAGGACATCAAGTTCCTCGTCTTCATCCTGTCATCCAGGGCCGACAGCAGCCTGTACGGCCGGATCAAGACGCTGGGCGACTGCCTGCACGGCGTCCACACCAGCTGCATGGTGTCGGACAAGATGACCAAGGGCGGCATGTCGTACGCGGCCAACATCGTGCTCAAGATGAACCTCAAGGCCGGCGGCGCCAACCACGCGCTGCCCAACGACCTCAAGCTCCTCCGGGCCGGCAAGACCATGGTCGTCGGCTACGACGTCACCCACCCGACCAACATGGCGCCGCCCAAGGCCGGCAAGGACGAGCCCCCCAGCTTGGTAGGCATGGTGTCCAGCATCGACACCGACCTCGCACAGTGGCCGTCGACGGCCTGGGAGCAGAGCTCGCGCCAGGAGATGCTGGGCGACGGGCTCGTCGACGCCTTCAGGCGCCACCTGGGCCTGTGGCAGAAGAGCAACGGCGGCAGCCTGCCCGCCAACATCGTCATCTACCGCGACGGAGTGTCCGAGAGCCAGTTCTCCCAGGTCGTCGAGCAGGAGATACCCCGCATCCGCAAGGCCTGCAGGGACATGTACCACCACCACGCCGCGGCTGCCGCGCGCGGAGGCGGCAAGAAGGGAGGGGGCAAGCCGCCCAAGCAGCAGCAGAATGCCCCCTCTGCCATCCTGCCCCGCATTACGCTTGCCATCTCGGTCAAGAGACATCAGACCCGCTTCTTCCCCGCCCAGGACGGCTGCGCCGAAGGCAGCACGGGCAACGTGCAGGCCGGCACCATCGTCGACCGCGGCGTCACCCAGGCCCGGTACTGGGACTTCTTCCTCACCGCGCACCACGCCCTCAAGGGCACTGCCCGACCCGCGAGATACACCGTCCTGGTCGACGAGATCTTCCGCGCCGACTACGGCATCGCGGCCGCGGCCAACGAGCTCGAGGCCCTCACCCACCAGATGTGCTACCTCTATGGCCGGGCCACCAAGGCCGTCAGCATCTGCCCGCCCGCCTACTACGCCGACATCGTCTGCGAGAGGGCCCGCGCGCACAGGCCCGACATGTTTGACGACAGTGACGATGCCATGACGCTCGAGACCGGCAGTGTATCGGGGGCCACCACGGGGGGAGCAGTATCCGGGCCATCTGTGCATGCCGACCTGGCTGACAGCATGTACTATATCTGATCTTCCCTCCATGTGGGGTTGGGACATGTATAACATCTCACCCATGCTAGGGGGAAATAAAAAAAGCGAGAATTTGAAAAGTTGGGCAATGGATTGTATAATTTCGAAGCCAAGGATTGTATATACATCTATGAGATGCTTCGAGTTAGTACAGGGAAAACAAAACCAAAAAAAAAAAAAAAGTCAAGATGAAGCTGGCGTAGAAGGATGTATATCTGTGCTTCCTCAGCTCAGTATATGTTTCCTGCAGGAGGTGAATTCCTGACAGTCTTTGATCACAGCTTCGCGTTAGCCTTTGCAACGTGTTCCATCCCTCTGACGGTCCACTCCTTGAACTCGTCTGTGACGCAGGCCTTCTCAGCATACGGCTTCCTTGTCCACTCCTCGTACTGGCGCTCCTCGGCCCACCACCTCTCCATCTCCCGGCTTATCCAGCTGGCCGCCTCGCGAGCACACATGGCCGGGTCCTCCATGGGGACGAGGTGGCCGTTATTCTCGGCGAGGACGGCCTTGACCCTGCCGTTCTTGGCGCCGCCGCTGCCGCCGTTCCCCGACCCCGTGAGGCGCATCTTCTCCTCCCTCTGTTCGGGTCCTGACAGGCTGCTCATCAGGGCGAAGACGTACAGCACCGAGGGGCGGATGTGGGCCAGGTTGCGGATGGAGCGTATCTGCTCTGGCCGGTAAAACGGCCAGGTGAAGGTGAAGCTGTCGTCTCCAGAGCCGGCGGCGTGGTGGGGCAGATCCGGGGCGGTGGCGACGCGCACGTCGTTGTCGTCGATGGGATTCCTGCCCTCGGCGTCGTACGCGTGCCAGCTGGGTCGGCTGAAGGTGAAGACCTCCTGGTGCTTGGTCGTGGTGAGCCGGACCTCGCCGTCGGGGTCGGACTCGGACGTCGGGTGCAGCCCGTACCGGACGTACAGGTCCAGCACGCGCGGGTCCCACGTCCTGAAGAAGGGGCTGCGCGTGAACGAGGCGGCCGCCTGGGCGCGGGAGGGCCACAGGTCGCGACGGCGCAGGCTCGTCGACGCCTCGGCGCTGCCGTGCCGGCCGATAGGGGCCGCTTCGAAGCTGGACGAGGCCGGGTCCATCAGGACCAGGGTGCTGAACAGGCGAGGTGATGCGAGCGCCACGTTGGCCAAGGTCACGGCGCCAAATGAGTGGCCCATGCCCACTAGGGGGCGTGGCGGTCGCAGGATGTTGATCATGTGCAGTATGTCGCGGTGGTAGTCGTGCCAGCTTGCTGATTGATGGGTCAGTGAGACGCACGTCGATGGAGGAAATGCTGGAGGGAAGGTCACGCACGGTCATTGCCCAGCTTCGATTCGTTGAGCAGCCCGCTCTGGCCTTGCCATGCTGCGTCGGCGATCAGGATGGTCCGGATACGTACGCCGCACGCCTTGGCTTCGCGGTGTAGATTCTCCCACAGGGGTTCATATAGCTCCTGGCCATGTAGGTCAGAGATGAATTGGCCGTGAGAAGGGGGGGGGGGGGGGGGGGGGGNGGGGGGGGGGGGGGGGGGGGGGGCAGGTTAAGGATGTCGAGATCGCAATAGGACGATAGAATAGAGCCCGCATACCTTGGGAAATGCGTTGGCGTGGGCTCCGATGATGGTCACGTCGCCCTTCCGAGGGTTGGGATTATCCTTGGGCGTGTATTGCTTGACGTGCTGGAGCAGCTCATCGTCTTGCGACAGACCTGTTGCTCGGGCGTATTCTCGAATATGAGCGGTCGAGAGGACGTGTTCCTTGATGTGGAATATGGATGAGGCCATTGCCGCCGCCTACTATGCTCCTCTTGCCAACCCTGCTAGCTATCGATCAATGGACAGACCGACGAAGATGAAGTGTGTGTTTCGAGACTTTATATACGTAACACGTGGGAGGATGCGTCGAGGTGGAAAGGTCAGTATAACCTGCCTCTTGAGGACGAGAGTGAATGAGACCATGACCATGATACCGCGGTACATGTATATAATATTATCTGCCTGTATCCGTTACTGTCACTTCGTAGTTGCTTCAAGATTGGATCGGCTACGGTCGAGATGCGGGGCCCTGACTAGCCCTCCTCCCCTCCCGTCTTGCCTCGGCAATAATATTGAATGTATCTATCCATATTTAATTCGCATTCACACATCATCGCGTACTACTGGGCGGCGCCGCACGGAGTATCCTCACCATATTAATATGATGGGCAAGATTACTCCGTAGAGTGAGACATGCAGCAATCACAGCCCAATAGATAATACCCTCACGCTCTTCAGCTATCAATGAACCGAGCAACCTAACCAGACTGAGAAATCTCTTCTCCTCTCGTCTTCTCCTCTTCCCTTTTCTTTTTCTCGCCATCCGCCTGTTGAGAGCGGTCCGGATCTTGCTTGTGCATCTTCGGACTCAGCGTACACCCACCCGATGGATCTTCTCTCATGGCACCCAAGGTGATGCTTTTTGTAGGGGCACCTCCACCCTCTATCGTCAATGCCTCTTCATGTACGCTCGACCGGCTGCAGCCGGTATTCAAGCAATTTGTCCGTCATGGAGCCGTCAGGTCTTCCGTTGGTGGAGAGGGGGATGAGGATGAGCATCGTCGCGATCCGCACCCGCACGCCGTCTGGCTCTCTCTCCCTCTCATCCACCAGCCCCTGCGCATGAGCGGCTTCTCCCAACTGCATCAGCTGAACGATACCGTTGCCGATCAGAGTCGCGACTTTTTCACGACGATCCATGCTTCGGACCTGGCCAATGCCGATGGCGGAGAGGACCTGCTGTCTCAGTTTTACGAGCACTCCCTCGCCCACCACAACCCCGCCGTCCCCTCTTCGCAGCTCGACGGTGACCAGAGTAGCGCTGCGGCCGACACGTCTATCGCGACCGCTACGTGGTCCTCCTCGGCCGGAAGCTCTGCCGTCGCCGCCGGCACCCCACAACCCATCCCGTGCCACCTGTCCGACCTGGAGGACGTCCCGCCGGCCCGCCACGTACTGTCCCTGCGGCCGCAGACAGTCACCGTCAACCTGATTGTCGCCATCATCTCCGTTGCCCAGCCGCGCACCGTGACCACGCGCTGGGGCAGCACCCTGTCGCTCGTCGAGATCGTCGTCGGCGACGATACCAAGTCGGGCTTCGGAGTCACCTGCTGGCTGTCTAGTGACTCCATCCTCGAATCCCAGCTCGCCCGGCTTCACCGCCAGGATACGGTGCTCCTGCGAAACGTCTCACTCAACGTATTTCGGGATAGGGTCTACGGCCAGAGCCTGCGCAGAGGTCTGACCCAGATCACGCTTCTCTGGTCCGCCGACGGCAGCGGATACTACTCGACTAGAGATCTGACCCGCAAGACCAGAGAACCAGGCGCCCATCCGCAAGTTGTCAAGACGAAGAAGGTCAGGGACTGGGCCCTCGAGTTTGTCGGATCCGACAGGAAAACCTCTACCAAGAGGGCGCCACGCAAATCCTGGGACCAACCGCCCGACCACACTCAGTGAGACCATGGGCTTTTCTTCTCCCCCCCCCCCCCCCCCCCTCTTACCAGATAGTTCCTGCCAAATATCTGTGGAGATATGCAACTATTTCCATCAGGACAGCCATCAGAACAAAAGAAAGAAGAAGTGCTCTGGCGAGCAGCACATGTAGGGAATACGGCTACCACCAAGTTTGGGCGAGAAGAGAGAACGGAGGCCAGCTAAGGGCTATTACACGGTAATAGCTCCCTCTTTCTTCCCCTGGGTTCTTTTGCGTATCTCCCGTCTTCTTGTTCAAACTTTCACCGAAGACCCAGAGACGCGATGAACGTCAGTGGGCCGCGCAGGCGAGCAATATGTAGTACGTCCTTGCGCAGACCGGTCCTGTACGCACCCGAGACCGAGTCATGGGCGGTTACGCCCCTTCATCTTCTCGGGGGCAACTGTTGACCTGGGAGGTGCCGCTGCGTAGTGGCCGGTGAGGTGGATGACTTCGCCGGATAGGATGTAATACATGGCGACGTTACTAAGGGTCAGGAGCAGTACCTCGATGCCCAACTGCACGGCAATGCCACTTTGGATGGCCCGGAAGTGCAGTGCTGTAACACCAAAGATATCCATATTGGCATATATATGTTTGTGTGCCTGTGTGTGCGGCATGACGAGAGACTCAACAAGTATTGGTCAGTTTGACGTCCATGGTATGGACGTATAGAGGAGACAGACACTGCATATATATATATATGATTGAGTGCATCGCTTCTGCCACTCCAAATCTCACGACACGGACGTTTTCCTATAATACGTTTCATTGACATGGTGCTGGGTTGAGGCAGTTTGTCTGAACTGGACTTTTTTTTTTCAAAAAAAAAAAAAATCAATAATAAAATTCCATTAACGTCTACTTGGTCTTGGCCCCTATCGTCCGACTGGTAATTCCTCGTCACTGACATAGACCAGAAAGGAACTCTTGTGAGATGTCATATGTTGTATCGTCTAGAATGTGTCCCCCTCCCCTCCTTGGCCAGACTGACTCATTCTGCCGGACCAGAGTTCTCCCCTTCCTGTTCCTCTTCGTCATCGCCCTCATCTTCCGGTGGGACCCAAATCAGCAATCCTTCCTTGTCCAGCTTCATGCCCTGGGTGGGTATGATCCTCAGAACCTTCTGGAAGTACTTATCCCTCACGACGAGCCCCGGCCTGATAAACGTACCCCTGACGAGCGGCAGGAGCCTGTACGTCGTGCTCCGTCGCGACATGGGCAGCAGGTGCAGCGACGTCTGCTTCGCACCGGAAAAGGCAAACTCGTCGCTCGGTTCCATGGTGAGCCCGAAGGTGAGGAAGTGGTTCGAGGGGTTCTCGATGGTAATTTCGAGGTGCAGCATCAGCTGTCTGTCATCGTCGTCGGAGTCGGAGCCACCCTCGTCGTTGTGGGACGTTGTCGTCGTCGTCTCGTCAAACACAGACGCCAGCACGCGTGGTTCGCTGCCCAGTATGGGGTACTGCCCTGCCACCATCGTGGTCGTGTTGGTCGGTCGTTCGGGATCGCCCAGCCGTTGCCACTGGATTTCGACGCCGAGCTCTACAATTACGGGGTGGCGGTCGTCTAGGCTCAGCCTCTGCGCCGTCATGTTGAAGTGCGCCTCGTGCATCACCTTTGGTGACACCACCTGAGATGAGAAGTCGGGTCCATCCGTGACGTGGCAGCGTGCGTATTTCGACCCCGACAGCACCTTCATCCGCATCCCGACCACCTTGACGTCCTCGGTGGCAAACGACGCATAGTGGCACGCCAGACTCCAGTTCTGTGCCAGGCCTTGCACTGCCCTCTGCTCCTCGTCGCCCGTCTCTGTCGGCACATTCTCGTAGTCAAACAGGCTTGGCCATGGGTCAGGATGCAGACGGGGCATGAGGCTGTAGTTGGCCTCAAATGCGCTCGCCACATTGATCTGCACCGGCAGCAGCTGCATTATGGGCGTGGCCGGGTCCGACTCGAGGTGGTATAGCGCCCGGAGGTGCACGTCGTACGTAGTGGGCATGTCTGTCGGATCGATCTTGAGCCTCACGTCCATGGTCGATGAGCTCTCCACACGTCCCAGAGGAAGCCCTGCAGCTCTAGACTCCTCCTGCCCTGGGCCTGCCTTCCTTTCCCCGTCCTCAATGTCTGCTACCGCGGTGAATCCGGGGAGTGTCTTGCCAAACAGGTGGGTGTCGAGCTTGATCGTTGCCGCCTCGTCCTCGGCATTGTGGATTTGGATGTGCAGCTCAATCTCCTCGTTTGCGTAATACTGGTTCAGCAGATCCACCACTCTGATATCCACCTTTGGAGGACGCGGCTGCACCTGGAGGACATGTGCATTCGACCGGGGATGTTTGGGCTTGGTAGATGCATTTGCGAACCATCCAGGGGCGGAGTGCGAATCGAGATTCATCTTGTAGTCCATGTCAAACTTCTCAGAGCCGAATGATAACCGGACTGACGAGGTTGAGACTTCGCCTGCTTCTCTCAGCGGTATCGACATCTCGAACACGCGTGTCTGCAATGGTTGTAGAGTCAAGTCGCACTTCCCTCGGAGTATCGACGGTAGGCCATCTGCCGACTCGTCTTCGAAACATTCCTTGAGTGCTGTCGTCGATTTTGCTGTGCGTCCCTCGGTGGTCACCGCTTGTGACGCTGCATGTTCGAGGACGATCGGTCTGAGACTGCCCTCAAACTCGACCTGCACGTCTTTCAAGGTGATGGGCGTCGCATCCGGGAAGGCTTGCGAGGTGAGAATCAACTGGCACGCGCAGCGTTGGCCAGCCTTGCTCTCTTTGTTACGGAACAAGAAGGCTGCGTCGACAAAGGACGGTACTTCAGTGTCCGAAAGGCTGATCGAGGGTTTGTTCGGCATTTCGATGCCATCGAGCGATTTGGATAGATCGTAGTGCCATTGTGGACGCCGCCTGAACTCTGGACGTAGGTTGTTAGCGAGACGAGGCTGGAAGTGTCAGGGCGGAAACCGCTTACTCTTGTTCATAAGCTCCCAGTCAAGGGCCACTACGAGCTCTCCGCGCCCTTCCTCGACAGCTGCCCGCCTCATCAGCCAGCACATGTCCTCGGCAATCTGCACCCAGCCCTCTGAGCGAAAAGATCCATCCTCCCAGAGTGGGCGGAGTACCGCCAGGACCTCCTTCCACGACTTCATGCGCTCCATCTCCTTGGCGCAGTCAAGAGATATCTCAGCCGCCGTTCGCAGCTGCTTCCGCGCCTGGAACTGCGATCTGGCGGGTATGAGACAGTCGAGGATGAGCTGGGAATGATTCACGCCCGCGCCGTCCAGAGGCAGTTCCTCGTAGGGCTTCGGGCACAGATATGTGTCGTAGTTGTAGGATGAGCCCGCCGATGCGTTCTGGGCCGCGCCCGATCGGGGCTCTACACGGTCTTCATCGGGTATTGTGCGGGCCAGTCTTCGCCGGGCGTCGAGGTGGCGCGCAGCTATGCGGTACCAGTAGCCCTTGTGATGTAGCAGCTCCCAGGGATGTAGGCGGTCCCCAACGACGTCCTTCTCGGCGGGGAGGAAAGGCGCATCTGACGACGGATCGATGCCGGGCCGCAGCTCAATCCTGTCCATGAGCTGCGCCATGATCAGGGCCCAACGTGCCTCAAAGGCCTCCCACCCATAATTGTCGGTGCCTCGACCCAGGCGCTCCACGAGATCAGCAATGCGGTCGCGATGGGACTGCCACTTCCTCACAGCCAGGGTAGTCTGATCCAGCCACATGTAGATGCGCAGGCAGCGGATGGCGATGACGTCGGCTAAGATGCGCGCCTCGTTCCACCGCGGGTTCCAGCTGGGGACGGCCTCGATGACATCCTCCCCGAGAAGCCCATCGTATGCCTGCTCATACGACTTGAGGGCGGGCTCGTATTCCTGGCGGAACTCGCCCAGGACGGCCGACTTGAAGTCGTACCGGAAATTCCAGCCGGAAAGCGACAGCGTGCGCGACGTTCCCGTGGTGGGAGGGACGGTTGGCTGGGGTGCTATGCCGCGCGAACGCTTCTTCCTGGCATGCCTTCCCAGATCGCGGTAGTATTCCAGGGCAGTCATGTCGAGGGCAGACAGGATGCCATCAACCACTGCCTTCAGCTCCGCCGGGCTCTCCTGGGGCGGGATGTAGAAGAGAGACTTGGGGTCGAGGCCCGAGCCCCGCCGGATATTTTCGAGCCTATCTTGCAGGCCCATCGACTGCGTAGCCGGGGTGCTGTCCTCGTCGGTCAGCAGCGCCACGGCCAGCCTCGTCCTGTAGCCCGAGTTGGTCAGGGTGTTCTTCATGCTGGCGATGTCGGCCTTGAGGCGGTTGTCTTGGAGGGTCGTCGTCGTGGGGTCGGTCGAGATGGTGTAGAAGCACAGCAGGATGCCGGGGACAAACTCCTGGTGCTTCTTGATCCACTGCGCATCGATGAGGCCGTCGGGGTACGTGGACGAGACATGGCTCAGCGGCGAGAAGGGCGAATGCAGCACTGGCGGGGAGGAAATCTGGTCGGAAGATTCGGGGAGGGGAGATAATCGCGGCGGGAGGAGAAATGACTGTCAAGAGGGGAAAAGAAGAAGGAAGGAAAGAGAAGACGGGTAAGCCAGAGGGGAACGGAAGCACCAGGGGAAAGGATCTCATCTGTCGCATACCCTGCCCACCGTCTTGACACGAAACCTGTACGGCTCGTCGGTCCGTACCGCGACCCACGACCTCCCCCTCTCATTGACCTTGTCCAAGTACTGCTCGACAAAGGCGGCCTCTCTCGTCTCGACCGGCGGGAGTGCTGAGCGGACCAAGATGCCCTGGTCCTTGAGTTCGCCCCCCAGCGGCGGTTGGGGAGCGCTGCTATTCAGGCCGGACACGACCAAGAGGGGAACATTGTGATCCAGGCTCCCGTCGGGATAGGCATCCATAGTTGGGAGGTCGGCAGTGTTGCCGTCGTCGCGGACATGGGCTTTTTCGAAATCCGTTGTTGTTCTTTTCGGTCTATGGCGGTTAGCTTGCAGCGTAGCTTTCTTTCTCTTTGTCTGCCCCTCCTCGACCCGAATTCACTACACTGTATCTGCTCTTCAGCTGGATTTTCTTTTTTCAAGAAGAAAAAAAAAAGAAGAGTGGCATGTGCATATACATGTATGTGTGTGCGTGCGTGTGCGTGTGCGTGTGCGCGTGTGCGTAGGCAATAAGGTGGGCTAGGCAGTCCCGCGCACGATGATACCCCCGGATGACCGTCGTTGATTCAAAAATGTGTATCCCATGTCCAAGCAACGGCACATATTACAACTCTCGAGTCCCTGCTCTCACATGGGGTGGCCCGTAGACTCGCCCGCGATGTACTCGAAAGGCCCACCAGGCCACAGTGTGGGGACAGCAAGCCCCTGTAACAAAGCTACTAACGCGCCAAGGGGGGGGGGGGGGGGGGGGGGGGAGAGGTAATGCATTCTCCCGAAATTCTTCCGGCGCGGCTCTCTCCCAAAAATCGATTGAAGCCATCGTTCCCGGCGAGTGTCTGCTTGGAAGATCCGAAATCATATACCATCACAGCTTCGACCCTGATCGCGACCATGAGACCTACGCAAGCCCTGTCGGTCGGCAAATACCGCCACCTGAAGCTCACGACCAAGGATGTCGGCCGCGGATTCTACAAGGGTAACCGCACCGGATCGATGGGTCGCCACACAAAGTACGGAGGATACGTGATCGAATGGGACAAGGTCCGGACCTATGCCGTTCCCGAGAACCTCAAGGACTTCAAGGTATTCTCGCATTCCGACCTTCTTCCTTTATGCCTGGGAGACTCCCCCCTCCTGGTGCGCGCATTCACGCAGATGTGTGCTGACCCTACTACCACTGTCACAGCTCACGCCTTTTGTGAGCAAGCAAGTCAGGGCTTCGCCGGGCAGCTACAAGGGCCTCGAGAAGGGCCCTCAGGACCCTTACTTCTACGTCGAGCAGTGGAAGCGATACAACGGTGTCGACTGAAAGCTGCTCCATCCAACCTACCGGTCAATACCACCCGCCGCATAATCACCACAACCTCCCGAGAAAGAAGGGAACACGAACCACCACCACGATTGAAAAACGGGCGTATCAAAGGACGCGCAGCTTGGATTTGCAGTCACGACTGGGGGAAGGGACTCCAGTTGTATGATGGTTATGTATATTACCTGTATTTTACTTTAAAAATAACAAAAGGGCATCGATATCCAAGTGAGGGTACAGACACACAAAACAAACTGTCTACCACCATGGTGCTGGCTAATACTGACACTACCTACGTTTTCTTCACATGTTCCCAAAACAGGAACGAAGAAGAGAGGGGGGAGGAGTGCGTCTGCGTCATCTTCAAGTTTTCTAAGAGGCAGCGGTCGATTGGGCTTGGGCATCGTCAGGACTGTTACCGGTCCATAGCATTATCACCTCCCGAGTTCCTCGGGGCCGGACTGAAGGCACCCGTTAGAGCCGGGCTCATGCTTGAGTTCAGGGTCACCATACTCGCCGTGTCGGCTTCCTTCTTGATGGTGAACGGCATGGCGATGCCCTCGATGAACGGACGCTTCCCCGTTGCTCCCGTGTTGGCGTTCGGGAGGAGCGAGTAGGGATCCGCGGCGGCCGACTCGGCCTCCTTCCGTCTCCGCCTAGCGAGGAGATCGGATACGGGCGTGGTCTCCTCGGTGCTATCCGTGGGGGCCCATTGCTGCTTCTCCTCCTCTCCCCCAGCGATGCTAGTGGCTTCAGTTCCTCGCGAATGGCTGTTGTCTGGCATCGTCGTGGCCGGTTCCTGCGTTGTAATGTCCCCGAACGACCGTGCTCCCTCGCCGTGCTCCTTGTCGACGACTGTGCCCTTCTGGCCCTCCGGGTCAGCGTTGCGCTGGCGCTCCACGGCGGCCTCGTCGTACCTGGATCCCCATAGCGACCAGACGGCCAGGCCTAGACTCTTGATCTGCTTCGTCTTGGTCGTCTTATCCTTTGTATCGACTCTCCACCGCCCGACCAAGGCGCTCGGCGGTGGAGACTCCCCGGGGATCTCCACATAGCCGACAGCCATGTCGTCGATAATCTTCTTGTACACCTTGGCCTTGGTGCCAGAGTATTTGGTGTCCCATCGGCGCTTAGCCGTCAGCCACTTCTGCACCTGGGCCTCCCTGATGCTGCCAACCTGGTGGCTCGGCACGCAACACGCCTGGAGATCCTCCTCCTTGGCCAGGGGGAACGTCACACCGTGACGGTCGACTCTTTGGCGAATCATGTGGTCCTTGAACTTGGGCAGGGGATCGCCAGCCTTGCCAACCTCGCCATCGTCCTGGTCCTGTGAGCGCTGGCCCTGCTGCCTTTCAGCCCTCCTAGATTGCGGCTCATGGTCGGAGGCCTCATCGGAGCTTGAAGACTCGGATGTGAGATCGTCGTCGATGATCTTGATATCAAGCTTCTGCGCCCTTGCGAGACACCAAGCTCCAAACTGCGCCGCTGACCTGTACATGAACTTTGCCGGGCGAGTGAAGCTCAGTGTCGGCGCAACGTGGCAGAGGTCGTCCCACACCTGAAGCTGTACATCCGTAGGCTCGTACGTGGCCAACAGCTCGCGACCCTTTTCATCCAGCCTACCGGCGGGAGGGGCGTACTTCTCTGGATGTGCGCACTTGTGAGCTAGGTAGATCTGCTCATCACGCAGGATCTCGCCACCGCCAGTCATGATGAGGAGCGGCGGTAGTCCGCCTAGGGTGGGCTGCAGGACTGGGCTCACGAGCGGGTGGTCCAGCAGCTCATTTGTGGTATAGAGTTGAATTTGATCCTTGATCCTGACCTCCTCGCCATCAATCGTGACTGTCAGGAGCTTTTCCGGGTCGGTGACTATTCCGCCGCTCGCAATCTGGCTGGTGTCCTGCTCAGGCCCAGCATCGGGAGGCGCAACATGGCCCTGTATCTTCTCTTGCAGCTCAGCTGTGCCGCTCGCCGCTCTCTTGCCGCCCTTCCTCTTCTTGGCTGCCTCGTTCTTCAGCATGATGCCGTCGTCCTCGTTCGGCGGCGGCCACCCCTTGGAAGGCTTGTGGTGGAAGCCGTATTCGGGGATGTAATCCAGCGGGGCCGGCTGGCTGATGCTGGGGAACGAGTGGGTGAGATCAACCCACGGGCTGATGAGGATGGCGCCTGCCGGAAGAGGAACCCCCTGGTCGCGTAGGATACACAGCAGCGACATGATCATGCCACCACCGGCAGAGTCACCCGCCAGGACAATATGGCTCGGGTCCTGCGTCTCGAGCAGATGGAGATAGGAAGCGATGCAGTCGTGGAGTCCGCAAGGGAAGGGGAACTGAGGGGCCAGCCGGTAACGCGGAGCGAAGACTCTGGCCTGGAGTTTGCGTGCATGCCTCTGCATCTGGTAGCGGTGCTCGTCGACGCTGCCGAAGAAGTAGGCGCCCCCGTGGACGTACATCATGACCCTGTTGGCGACGCCGTCGGCATTCTTCTTGCGTTCATTGGCGTCGGACCGCATCTCGATCCACTCGGCTTCGAACTGGGTGCCTGGTCGGCGCCATTGCCACCATTTGCGGCCGCCTACGCGGCGAATACCATCCTCGTCCAGCTGGGTCTCTAGGAGGGAGGCCGCCCGAGCCAGGCTGGCCTCAGATATAGTGACGTTCTCGACCTTGACCCATTGTGGATGCGGAACCCACTGGGATGTGAAGGCCTGTAGCTCCTCAACGGTGTGGTGCGACGAAAACTCGAGGAAGGTGCGTATGAGGTGGATGCCCTCGTCGTAGGATAGGTGTGCTGTCGGTAGCCCCTTTCTCGGTCCGCGGTTGAGATACTGCCGTCCAGGGTGAGCAAAAAGGAGGAGGAACGGGCCATTCGGAGGGAAGGGAGATGCAAGAGATAGGATGGTTGATGGGACGTCGAGAATCAGAACCAAACTTACATGCGAGAAGAGCGTCTCGACAACAGTTGGCGTCACTGCCATAGACACGGACGTGGTATTGAGCTTCGGCATGGTGGCGAGTAGTGGCCGATCCACAAAAGGCCCAGCAGGGGCAAGCACCGAGAGACACACACAGTGGCCGATAGAGCAAACCTCTTTGAAGATGAAACTTGGGAAATGCTAAGTGTTTGGATGTCGAAGAGCGAATATGAAAATAAAAGTCCTTTGCTCCCTAACTTTTGAGGCCGGTCCAAGAAAGCTAGCCCAATGATGTCATTGATGAGACCCCTACTCGTACATTGAGCAATTTCAGGGTGGAAAGAACTTGGTGTGTAATATTAATACTCCGTACTCCGTAACATTCGTGCTATTTATTCAATTATTACGGGGTAATATTACTGCTGGACCCTAGTAGCGCTCCCTCCCTACCTGGGAATACAGGCGAGCAGGCTGGTTATTATCACTGGTACGGAGTACAGGACGGTGCTAATCACGCAGATGCTCGGCCGATCCTGGCAGGCTTCCATTTGAGGGTAAATGAACCCACTCACACCCACCGGGGAATGGAAAGTGTGGGTTTCCTCGTTTTTCTTTTGCTGTGATGCTTTCGGCCATGTGTAGTTGCACCAGCAAAAAAAATTGTGTGTGCACAAGCCTGGGTGGATGCTGCCCCTCCAACAGCGGGAGGGAAAGAAAAAAAAAAAAAGAAGGGAACCCCACCATATGCGAATAACGTCGTACAGCAAACGACGGATTTCTCGATCGGACAGCATAAATACTACCAGTAATACGATATACACCGTTGGGATCCAAAATGGCTACATCGGTCGCGCCTGAAGCGCTCCCCCCTGCGGGTACGTACAACGTATATACAGCACGTGCTGAGGAAGAGGACGATGAATTAGAAGAAGGGAAGAGGCGACTCGCTAATCCCCGAATGCCTATAGCGGATCGCCAATACAACTTTGAGCAAGCCGTTGCTTACGCCATCAACCTGTGGCCCGACCTCAACTTGGCCGTCCAGAACAACTGGGGAGGGCCCGACTCGGCCGACAAGCGCGACTTCCTCGTCGGCGCCATCGTCGACCTCTTCGCCGAGTACACGGATGCGCCGCCGGATCCCAAGAAGAAGACGGTCGAGGAGCCCAACGTGGAGGACGTCGAGACGGTCCTCTTGCAGTACATCATGGAGGAGTTCGAGGTCAACATTGACGACGACTCGAGCGTCGACGTGGCCAGCCAGATCATCCGCGCGCGCGCCCAGTGCACCGAGGGAAAGACGGAGGAGCTCGACGTCCTGAGGGAGCGCTACAACAACCGCAAGGGCAAGGGTACCGAGAACTTCAAGAGGGTCGAGGACGCCGAGCAGGATACCGACTGGGAGACGGACGACGATGACGACGACGACGATGACGACGACGAAGGTGGTGCCGATGTGAATATGGACGAAGCTCCGCAGCTTGTCCGACAGCCCAAGCCCGAACCCGAGGTAGATGAGGATGGCTTCACAAAGGTTACCAAGAAGAGGTAGGAATATGCTGGGTAGCAGGGGGAGATGAGTGAGGGATACCACATGTCCCTCGCAGCACTCGAGGGTTACACACACATACTGGCCGTCACAATGAATCTTGAGCCATGTTGGAAAGAACACCTGGTGGTTCGCGAACATACACAGAGGGGCCGAGACAAAAAAAAAACAAGCAGAAGAAAAAAAACATATACATATTCCTCCCAAGACGCCGAAATGATCCGTTGTATACGACAAACACGCAAAAATGATTAGAAGCAAAGATACATGCAAAACAATGCATGCTACACGACCCCAGAAAATGCAACACTTTATTCCCAGTCATCGTCACTGTCATCATCGGCCTTCTTGGGATCCTTGGGGCTGCTAGGAGCCTGACTGTTCAGGCCAGACGCGGCTCCGACAACATCGTAACTCGCCTCGCTATCGGCCTGAGACTTTTCGTCGTTGGAGTCGCGAGCGTCGGCGGGCTTGAGGGTATCCTTGGGGGGGGCGGCGGCGGCGGGTGCGGCGGCGGCGGCGGCGGCGGCGGTAACAGGCTGGATGGTGGTGGACGACGTGACGGAAGCGGGCTTCTTAGGGACAGCCTTGGAGCCATCGTCGGGAGCGTCGTCATCATCCGAGGAGTCGTCCTTGTCCCCATCTTCGTCATCCGAGTCGTCGCCCCAGCCAATCTCGTCATCGGCAGAAGCAGCTAAAGAGAATCATGTCAGCTCAACATAGAATACGTGCGCGAAAGAAGAAAGAAGAAGGAATACGAGGAGAGGAGAGCGTACCATTCAAGAGCTCGCGCCTCCTAGCCTCAGCCGTCTCGATACCGTGCCTGAGGAAGTAGTAGCGCTTCCAGAAGTCGGCGTAGGGGATCTGGTCGGGCACCAGCTTCTCCATAGTGGCGCGGAGGTCAGGGTACTTTTCGAGATCGGCGCTGATGTCGGCCGTCTTGCTATCAATGTCAAAACCCTTGGACCAGTCCTTGTCCTCGGGGCCCGAGGCGTCCTTTGTGAAGCCGTCGACCGACGTGTGGATGACGTGCAGCTGGGCGTCGAAGCGGGACGTGTGGATGACTCGCTTGCCCTTGGCGTCCTTGCTCTCGAAAAGCACGGACGAGCTGCTCTCCTGACTGGAGCTATCGGGGGGGGCAATGCTGACGGCGTCGCGCAGGAAATTCCGGATGTTGCCGCCGAAGCGGAGGAGGGCCTCGTCAGCCGCATCCTCGGCCTTTTGGAGGTCCTTTAGACGCTTGGCGGCCTCGGAGCGGAGGCGCGAGAGCACCGTCTCGGAGGAAGCGTCCTCGCCATCCTTCCCGGCCGCCTCCCCACCTGCATCGGCAGACCGCTCACCCTGGCCGCCGTCCCCTTGCTCCTCCATGCGTTCGCCGCGTAGGACATCCTGTATCGTCAGGCCGCGCGTCTGGGCCACGAGGGACTGGCGGAGACCGATCAAGCCCTTGGAGGCATCCTCACCAACTTCGGCAAACTCCTTGGAGGCCTGGGTATAGACGGATTCGCCCTGGAGGAGACGGCATCAGTCATGTCCGTTCTTAGCTGCCGTCTTGAGCAGATGAGAAAGAAGAAAAATCCGAGGTCAGAGCCGGACGTTGATCACACACCTGCTTGACCACGTTGCCAAGAAAGCCACCGATGCGGCTCCCCCACGGGCTGGCGGAAAAGGACTTGTAGGCCTCCTGCAGATCCTTGTTCAACGACGCTTCCTCCTTGCCTGACTCGCCGTCCTTTTGCTGCTTCGATTCGGCATCATCTTGGATGTGGTCATAGGCGTAGGCGAGATCCATTCTGGCGGGGGCCTCTCGTTCCTGGTTATTTCGGGCAGGTAGTGGCGCCTTTGTTGTCTGCTGATGTCGCGAGTTCTTGCTATCAAGGCGCTTGGGACTTACTAGGCTGTCGACAGGTTCAAAACGTCAGATGACGAAGGCTGCCCATTGTTGGCCCATTTTGTCTCCTGAGAGGTCCGCGGGGCCCAAGCGTGGGGTCCCGAAATGCACGAGCCTTTTGGAGGAGGGATACGCGTGCACGTGACATGCATCTATCTACTCGTACCTGTGTCTCGGATTCCTCGACTTATAAGGGTCCACTCCACCGTCGATATGGCGCCCAAGAACTTATCCTTGTTTGAAAATGCACCATGTTGTAAAATGCCTATAACCGAGATTTATTGTCTTCGATGGAAAGTCAGTTGAAAGGTGATTGCGTGGGTCAGGCATGCGTGCATGAGACCTTATACAAAGTGTAAGGGAGGTAGTTACGTGGGACGATGGCGAGCAGGTCTATATTAAACATGATCATTCACCCTGGACTTGCAGTCAATTACGAGGTGCATATCACGGCAATGTAGCACGTATCGTTAGCCTCTTCTATAATAAACCTCTCGGTAGACTTTATTTTTGCTCATGTAGGCCGATGTTGTATGGATGGATTCTACCTGGATCACGTAATACCGCTGGTAATAGTACGCTCACTGATCACTTCAACACGGCGAGAGGGAGTGTATGTGCGTGTGGCCAATGGCCATTGATCCTTGGCCTGAGCTTCCCCGCGCCACCTACGGTACATAAACTTGTAGGACAAAAGATACCAGGAAGCAATGCATCCCCAAGGCCACACCATGGCTCTGGGCCCTACTTTTTCCAACTCACCAAAACTAGGCTGGGCTCGGTAGCGGCCGGGGCTGATGTATGGCTGCGTTCCACTACTTCCCCCGCCTACCGGCCGAGCTGCGCGCCCTGATATGGGACATGACGGCCGAGCCCCGGATCGTCGAGGTGCACCTGCGGCCGGACCCCCATCACACCGAGGGTACGCACCTGTACTCTCCGACGCCGGCGCCGGCCATGGTGCAGGCTTGCCACGAGTCACGCGAACACGCCGCCAGGACGGGCCTCTACCGGCGGGCCTTCACATTCGGCTCGGACCCCCGGTACACGTGGGTCAACTTTACGGCGGACACGGTGTCGGTGGGCTTCCCAGGGAGGGAGTTCCAGCACCTCGGTGCTGACCTGGCTCACATCCAGAGTCTGCGGCTCGAGTGCGAGAACGACGACCTCTTCTTCTTCCAATACTCGGAGGCCATCTCGTCTAATTTCATCAGCCTGAGACGTCTACAGTTTATATGCGTCGACGGCGTCGATGCGTGGGAAGATGTGTGGAGGTTCAGGTCCTTCGGTCCGAATTGTCCGACCAACAATGTCACGTTCATCGACAAGTCTACGGGGTTGATGCTCGATGGTCTTCTGATGCGCGAGCTCTTGTACTTCAACTACCTTGACGCCTTGGATCCGGCCTATCTCAGTGTAATTGATTGAGAACCTGCGCCCTTTCCACTCTTTCCAAGGTCCACTCTCCCTCTTTCGGCCGGGCTTGTATCCCAGAGCATTTTCCGGATGTGCTCGTGTTGTTTCGGGCGGAGACGGGGAACAAGATGACACCGGTACCCGGATCGAGAACTCCTGGTTTTAGGTTAGGGTTTATGCTCAGTGACTCCCGACAGCGGCCAGTTGGAAGGTCACGCACCAGGCATTCCCTTTCCCAGAAGGAAGAAGATCCGATGGATCCCAGATTCCCTAGAAGCAGGGGCTGAGTACATGTAGACGTTGGACCTTGAATTGCTACGTCGCCCGGAAACGAGGTCCGCTGCGATGTCTCAACCATGTCGGCTACTGTCGGAAACGGAGGGCCTAAAAGACTCCCTCTCGCCCCCCCCCCCCAACAGAAACAAAAACACGAAACTAACAAGGTTCATGGGACGATCGTCTCCGTCTTCTGAAGGGAGAGAGGCTGAGGTTGAGATCTCCTCTTCAGGTGACCGCTCCCCTGGTTGGGGAAGTCGACTATTAGCGGGACTAAGAGGGGTCCACGCGAACCTTACTCGGCCCCGGCAGAAGGTCGCAGATGGGAGAGGAATAGAATCAAGAGCTTGGCGAAACTTATTTCCTGTTCTCAACCATACGGGCAATCATGTGCTTTTCCGTCCTGAGAGTTTCGGTGCAGGGGACCCTCCCTACTTGTCTGCTGAGCCTTGGTAATGGGGCGAGAGGGCCATGGCCCATCACCGCGCCAGCCACAACGTCCGGAAACATGCCCGGGGATGTCCCCACATGGTGACGTAGATCACTCTTCCCACCATCTACGATTGCCCCCTGCAACTCTCGATCTCTCTGATAATGTATCACTTCGGGCAAATAGGTTACCCGACCAGGAGAACTGGCAGTACCATCGATCTTTAGACAAGTCAACGGAGAATAAGGTTAGAGTTCAATCCACAGGGTGACATCACATCGGATTGGTTCAGCGGGCTGGGCCTCATGCCAAACTTCTTACGGGATTCAAGGACACATCATGCCTTTGCATGTACACATGGGGAGTCGAAACAGCACCATCGAGGAATATGCATGTATATATATAGGGGATCATCTTCCCTCCTGAGTAGGTGGGATCTTTACTCTCATCCATCACAACTTTCCTACACTCCTCATCCTTTGCAACCGTCCACACCACAATCGTCACCACCACTCTTCCACAGACAACTACCAACCTTCACAATGGAGACCGCTAAGCAGGCCGTCAACTACGTCTCTGAGACTATCCAGGGCACCTCTGCCCAGGCCAGCAAAGAGGCCAACAAGAATGTCGCCAAGGACGACAACGCCAACCTCTCCACTCGGTACGCTCCCTCATCTTCCCATGATGCTTTTCCCATGATGCTATTCCAATCAACATTACCTAGATGACTAACCACGCTATTTCTATGCAGTGCCTCCGCTGCCAAGGACGCCGTCGGCGACAAGCTCGACCAGACCGGCCACGAGGGCAAGGCTGAGTCCCACAAGCAGTTTGCCAAGAACTAAGCATCGTGGATTCAGTCAGCGTTAGGCACCAGCGCAATGTTCGGGAGATTGGGACCGTTTAGCTAGATTATAACACTCGAAGAATAATATAAATCAACTATATAATTCCTATATATACTTGCAACATACGCGTTGCTCTTGCCTATTGCTATCGCCCGAACTCCGTCCAAGTGAAAGCGTTCCATATAATGTCAGAACTTGCCTCCTCCCCTTCTCCATCCCTCACTCATCCTCATTTCGACTATAAGCACGGTACTTTCCTACTCAAACTCGTGGAGCAGTGCGAAGAGAAATAACATAACTGGCTATCTGCCCTCGGGCAGATGTTAGTTCGCATGAGCTGATCACCTTCATGGCCAGGGATTTCGTGAGCCACAACAATCATCCGGGGGAGACCTTGAAGGGTACTTGCTCTCCCTTCATCAACGTGGATGTCAACCGGAAAAGGACAATCCAACACAATGCGCGGCAGATGACCCCGAAGGTGGAGAAGATCGTGGCGCAAGCGCTATGGAGATACGAGTATACGTCCCGAAATTCATCTTGTGGGACGTTGAACCAACCATACGATACAAGTCGCCACTGCTATGCGTTCTCGACCACGGTCGGCTGCCTCGTTGATACTTTAAATTCATGTGCGAGTGAGTAACCTCGGTGTACGGGCCAATCCTCTCAACCCCTGTGGATGGGAGTATTCCAGTAGTCTTGTGGTTTCTTGGCATGTTGTGGGATATACGCATACCACGCTTTTTTCCTTCATTCATCACTACCCCAACTTTATTGGCATCTCTGTTTAGGTTCCTGTAGCACCCTTCTCCGGAGTGTACGTATCGGACCGACAACCCCTCGTCTGAGTACCCCGTCCCAGGAGCATGGCAAACCGCCCGACTTCCTAGCCCGGTTTGAAAATACATCTCTGGGCGGCCAAGGATGAGCGCGCAACTGGAGATGCAGTGCTTGGGGCGCCAAGCGAGACCTTTACCTGCCAAGGACACGAGAAAAGTGTTCGGGAACGAGGAAGTGTTATCTACGATAGTTCAGCAATTCGTCAGCAAAGAAAAACAGAGCAGCGTACAACAGTAGACCGCTCACGTCTCCTTCCTATCGACCATCTCCATACCTTACATCGTCCGAGACTGACGACTCATTAATGGCAGTGAGGGCCTCGCGGAGAGACTGTAGCTCTTTCCCTCGACCGCACCGGCCCTTTCGGCGAGAAGACGCTCCCGGTTAGACTTCGGTTTAGGGTGCCTCGCTGTCGTCGCATGAGCCACCGGTCCCGAGATGAGGATCAGCTTGGCGTGAGCGTAGTCCATCTCCATTCTAGAATGACACCAATAGCTCGGATACCAGTCATGAAGGCCTTCATCTTCCGGCTCACATCCCACATGGCTCCGCAGACACCCTCGAGGTCCGGGTCAGACAACGCCAGTACGCCGCTGCCCAAAGCTTGCGGTGAGGGATGACGATGGTGAGCCTCGGCGTGTTGCCAGAGAGTGCGGGGAAGGCGATGTGCTCCGGCCCGTCTCAGGTGCGCCACTTCTTCTGTTCGCCCCGGACGATTCTGCCGAACAGGCTGTCCTTCCCTTCCTCGCCGAAGTGTGTGATGTCCGACGGTATGTCCTCTGCGGTGACTGCGTCTCTGACGCGTGCCAGATCGGCGTCGTCGAGTTTCGACGCACTGTTGGGCGAGATGCATCCGCGGTACTCTTCACTGTACTCCTCGACTTGGCCGGTGACGGCCTCCCAGCTCTCGGGGATTCCGTGCAAGGGGATCAGACGGATCTCGTCGTCAGCAGTCGAGACCAGGGCGACTCTGCGGGCTTCCAGGGCCTGCTTGAGGACCGGAAAAGCCCGCTTGGCCGGTAGGAAGACCTTCTGGTACTCGTCCCTAAATAACGTGGACAGGGGCCCAGCCTTTCGCCCTTGATGGTTGGTCGCAGTGGAGATACTTGCCTTGACGGCGTCGTCACTAAAGAAAGCAGGTGTGCCACGGTTGTCATCGTTTATAGTGCCGCATCTACGCGGCGAGGCGTCAGCCTCTGCTACATCTGGCCCCCGGCATGATGTGCTCGAGCTGTTTCCTCTGAGCTTCAAGGTAGAATTTGCAAGATGGTGGGAGATGTCCTTGCCTGCAAGGTATGGCCTCTTTATGGGGGGCGTAGTAGAGATCCCGGTAAGCTTCAGAGTGAAGAGTGCGCAAGAACGTATGATGTGGCTCACCCTGTGACATGTTGAATGTCTGGATATCCTGCAGCGCGGGGAAGTGGCTTAGGTGCATGCGATACAGCCAGATAGAGCCATTCATGCCATCGTATGCATGTACATACAAACGATGCATGCGCACATCGGCGACTCTGTGCAATCGCACAGCGTGAGTTTTATCATGTAAGACTGCATAGCGAGGCTTGAAGGTGTTCAAACCTTCTAGATCGGGAGCTCCCCCGATGTTGCTGCAGAACTCGAGTTCCATTAAGGAGGACCAGCATGTTGACCAGTGTTTCTGGTTGCTGGATGTAGCCTTATTGTTTATGGTACCGGTAGCATGCTGGCACTGTCCAACACGCCGGAGATGGTCGTGCATGCAGAAGAGTCGCAGCGTCTGCATCTCCTCAAGATTGGCTGGCAAGCAGTGTTCTTCAGGCTGATGTCGGGAGCATTTCCGTTGGAGACGAGTTGTGAGCCCGTACAGCGCTCCGATAGAGGTAAAAATATAAAATTTGCGCCTGCAGCTTGCCAGGTTCTGTTTGCCCTTGCAGCTATCAAGGTGTGAAGGAGGCGATTGAAAGCCATCACCGCCGTTAGTGCTCACCCCCGTCCCATCCCGACAGTCCATTCTCCCGACATCCCACACTTCGCAGGGTTGGAGATCAGGCTGACCTAGAGGATATGGATGTTATAATATCGACTGCGTTATGGCAACGAGCGTACTGTGACATTAGGTGCACCCCTCAGATCGTCCTCTCGCACGGCCCATGCCAGAATCGGCCGCATGATAGCGACATGTAAGCAATGGCGCGACGCGGTGACATAAAAGTGAAGTTCTAGGCATATGATTCATACACCGGCAATAGAATAGCAGTAGGATTAGTCACACGAAAGTGTGGCGTCACAATTTTGATGTGATCGCATCACGGTATAGCTCCGCTCTAACGTCAATGGCAACGGCTTTGCTGATATAGCGACAGCGACGATTTTCAGTGAGCCCGGCCCACGTGCTCCTTCGCTGGGTGGCGATCTACGGAAAATTGAGGCGCCGATGGCCATCAGGCTATCCCATCGATATAGATAACAGATAGAGAGGAAACAGCCTGAGCACGGAGAAAAACTATCAGAGGGATGACACAGTGCTAGTACTGTGTGCAAAATTCCGAGTTCTAGCTCTGCCATCACCGTTCCGTCGTCGAAAGGCGCGAAGCGGGCAGACAGGCCATTGGCAACTGGGGCAGCGAGTGTGCCGGTGGCCCAGTGAGCACTAATCCCAGTGGAGAGGTTCTTTTGGAACCTCCAGCGGGATGGAGCTCAGGCGTCCGTCTTACTCGTGCATCCACTGTATCCATGCTCCTATGCTCCGGGGCAGCCGATGGGCCGTTCACCCCCACTGGTAGCGACGATAATGGATGGCTAACGTCAAACTGCCTGCCTGTACGAGTAGGTACGGGTAGTGGTTCTCGTACGTGGTATTCATTATATTAATACTCCGTACGGATACACGCCATACGGAGTACAGGGCAAGAAATAGCGGCATAACCAGCCACTTCAACGGCGCACTGCTCAATGGAGAGGTCATGCATGGCGACCTTTTAGCCAATAGACAATCAGATTCATCCGCCGTGCCTCTGATATGCATGTATACCTGTGGGTACGTCGTACCTGTGCACCTGTGCAGATAGAAGGGAGAGTCGTAGAATCGTACGGTCCCTATTGATGCATTCGAATTCGCACTCCTTCAGCCAAGCCAGTAAACGAGCCCCGCACTTCGGCCCCCCCCCCCCCCCCCCCCCCCCCCCCCCCCCCCCTGAACCGGTCGCCCTGTGCCTGCCACCTGCTATTTATTACCTGCAAACTGACTGATAGAGTCTTCGCCTGGCTGACAAATTCACCAAAGAAATCGTCAGACACTTTCCCCGTAGCCCAGTCATTGAACCACGACTTTTTCACACCCCCGTTGTCTAACCCCAGCAAATCGGTCAGAACCAGCTAGAATCTTTGTTTTGCCCTCGGCCCCTTGCAGAACAGACAAGCACCCGACGTGTTTTTTTTTCTCGCCTTTACGGTCTCCCCATCTGTATCTCCTGACATCGTTCTACCCGCCGTCTCAGTATTCGCCCGGCTTCCAGGACCCCTCTCTGATATCTGCACTCGCGCTTGGGAAGTCTCCAGTCCCGCCACACACGACACCCGTTTCTTTTGGTCCAAGCAACTTTTTCCGTGGATCTCTTGGCCTTCTGTTTCTTATTCTTTCATCTCTGAGAACCCTTCTATTTTTATTTTCCTCTTGCTACCTGCTCTTTTGACTATTTCGCGACTTGTCTCTCCCGCTTTCAAGTCACACGTATCGCCACCTCTGCTTAACTCCGGGAATCCGAAAACAAGAATAAGCCGACAGAGGCCTTGATCAATTCATCGTCGTCACTTGCTCGCGCCACGAAGGACCCATCTTTCATCTCCATATCACCTTCATAATTTTCCGTCACCCCTTTTCCCAGGGTTTTTACCTCTCCGCCGGCTCCATGGCCTCCGCCGGCACCGGTGGCTCCGTGCCGCCTCAACTCTTCTTAACTCCCCAGCAGCAGAGTCTCCTCTTTGCCGCCCTCGAGTCTGGCAAGAACCAGCCTCCGGCCTCCCAGAGTGCAAGCCGACTCAATCTCTCGCCCGGCTCTTTCCAGGGGTCTCCCATTCAGCAGAACGATGTCCGGTCCGGTGCGTTGGAGCAGAGCCCCTACCTCGACTCCTACAACTACGATGACCTGGGCGACAGCAGCTTTGACTTCTCCTACATGGATGAGCCTTCCAAGACGTCGGTAGACCGTGCCGACACCTCAAAGTCCGACTCTACGGACGCAGATTTCAACGAGAAACGGAGTCACCCAGAGGACGAGGACGATGAAGAAGGCGGCGACTTGAAGCGCCATGAGTCGGACAAGGTTCCCAAGAAGCCCGGTCGTAAGCCTCTCATGTCTGAGCCGAGCTCGGTACGTCGGCCCCTGTATTCTACCAACCCTCCATGGCCAACGCTAATCTGTACTCGCCAATATAGAAGCGCAAGGCACAGAACCGCGCCGCCCAGCGGGCATTCCGTGAGCGCAAAGAGAAACATCTCAAGGACCTAGAGACCAAGGTAGATGAGCTGGCAAAGGCTTCCGAGGCTGCAAATAATGAGAATGCCAGGCTGCGCGCCCAGGTCGACCGGATGACGACTGAGTTGAAGCACTACAAACAGAGGATGTCTGCATCTTCCAGCCAGAATGCTACGGCCGCCGAAAAGGCGGCTTTTGGCAGCTCAGCGGTGAACCACCTCAACGACGTCAATTTTCAATTCAACTTCCCCAAGTTTGGTGTTCTCCCGGGCCCCCCTCAGCAGGACAAGCAGCAGAAGTCTCCCTCGCAGCCCGTGAGTCCCCAGCTGGCGCAGAGCCCCGCAAAGTCTCAGGCGAGTGGCGTGACGTCGAGATCCCAGCCGCAGCCGCCACAACCGGAGGATTTCGGCAAATTCAACGGGCTCTACACTCCGTCCATGACGAGCAGCTCGGCAAGGAATGGATCTGGAGGCAGCATCGACTCGGTAAACTACAGTGCAGGTGGTGCGACGAGCTCACCCTCGTCATCGTCGCACTCGAACACAGTCCCTAGCTCGTCGTGCGGCACCTCGCCCGAGCCCCTGAACCAATCACCGTCTGGTGCCAAGCCCATGGACACAATGACGACGATTGGCGAGGAGCACCCGTCCATGTCAAACGAGCCGTTTGCACAATTCGCCAACGTTGACTTCGGCAACAGCAATAGCACCAACTTTGACTGGCTGGCTCAGCAGCACGGCGGTAACTTTGACCCGCAGCTCTTTACCGACTATCGCGAGACGCAGGACCAGGTCCTGTCCAACAACCCATCGTTTGATGACTTCTTCAACGACGCTCTCGACGCCGACTTCTTCACACCGTACAACGTGGCAGCGAGCCCAAATTTCGGCGCCACCGCGGCAGATACGGCCCCTAAGAAGAGCCTCATCGAGGAGATTGATGCGCAGAAGAACGACTACGATGACAAGCTAGTCATCAGCAAGGAAAATGTCAACTGCGCCCAGCTATGGTATGTAACGCCGCTACCTACGCCGCCACCCTCGGGACCGGCGGCACCGGCACACCACCCGGCGACCGTCTCACTCACACCTGACTATAGGGAAAGGCTGCAATCGTGCCCCAAGTCGCAGAGCGGCGAGTTCGACCTCGACGGCCTGTGCTCTGAGCTCACCAAGAAGGCCAAGTGTTCTGGGACCGGACCCATCGTTGCCGAGCATGATTTCGATACGATTCTCAAGAAGTACATGGGCAAGGGCGCCACTTCTGACTGCGTGGCCAGCACACTAGGTGTCCATGTCAAGCGAGATGCCAGTAAGAATTCTAGGGCTTGAACCAGTTATTAAGCAAACGAAAGAAGCAAACAAAATCAATCAATCAACCAGTGTAATACACACGCACGCGCGCCAGGGGTTCTGAGTGATATCCGCATTTACGTCAGACGGTTCATACTGTTTTTGGTCTTAATGTTCTTTTTCTCCGTTTTTTTTTTTTTACTTGTTGGGGCAATATCATACATGATTCTTTTTGTCCAATCTTCTGTCCTTTACTCTTTCAGGACCCATATGGAAAGTTTTATCAGGAGGCGTCGCGGGTTTCCTTTTGCTGTTCTTTGTCTTTCTTCTACCCTTTCCAGGGTTTCTCAAAGTCTTGTATTTTTTTTCCTTTTGAGGGAAAAAAAACCCTCCCCCGTACCCTCTTTTTTAAATCAAAGAAAGTTGCTCTTTTTCACGTCTTGTACTTCTCTTTTCCCCTTTCCTTCTCTCATTCTTTCTTTCATTTCAAACAAGCTTGTTTCTTTGTGGCTTCCCGATCCTTCGGGACCATGGATATTTCGTACGGAGCGGGGCGTTCCGTCAATACTTTTTAACATGTACATCAATCACACTCATTGCCATACACTTCAAATACTACATAAAATGCTCGATTACTTCATGACACACTGGGTGGTGGTATGCTGCTCCACGCTTTTACAAAAGGAAATAATAATAAAAAAAAAACTATTTATACTTGTTTGCTTATTACGTACTTCCAGTATATACATATATATATATGTATGTGTGTGTGTGTTCCTGCTCTTGTCCGTGACACCTGTGTGTAAGATTAAAATGTGATACCATGTAAGAGAACCAGATGTGAAAGATAGGTGATACCATAAGAGACCCGTATGTAAAAGTAAAAAATGTGAAATACCATGTGAGAGGACAACCAGATGTGAAAGCAAAACATGAAGACTGCTAAGTTGAAAGTGAGGGGAAAAAAAGTCAAAACGCCACTATGTGATGGAAGATATAAGAAAAACACAGGCTGAAGATGCATGTCGTCGTTAACCAAATTCCTTCATATACCGGGTATCAATTCCAAGCGACCACACACGGGGCACAGCTTTGCCTAGAAGAGCATGGTATAAAAAAAGTGATTGTGAAAAAGGGTGGTGGTGAGAGATCATGATGATGATGATGATGAACGCGGGGGGAGGGGGGCAGTGTGATCAAAGAAAGGATGTGAGAGGAGGGAATATGAGGAGAGAAAAAAAAGTTAACCGATGACCACTCTGGCGCCCTCCTTTCCGAGAACACCCCTCTCCTTAGGACGAGGGGAATGCGTCCTCCCCTTCTTGCCCTTGAGGAAGCCAAACATGCCGCCGGACCCTTCTCCCTTGCCGTCATCCCCGGCGGCGGCGTGGTTGGCGTCGGAGGGGAGCGTGGCGTCCTGCCTGGCCAGCTCGGACCAGCTGCCCCCTCCGTCGAGGGTGACCTGGAGTCCTCCGGTGGGGGAGGTGACGCGCGTGGAGGTGCGGTTCGAGGACGTGTACTGGTGCTGGTAGGCCGTGGGGAGCGGGGGCGCGGGCCGCAGAGGTCGGATGGGTCGGCCATCCACCCCGGACATCTGCTGCTGTTTCTGGTCGAGCTGCTGGTGGAAGTGCTGCTGAGGGGTGGCGGGGGCTGGTGTGGCCTCGTTGGTGGTGAGAGCCTGGCCGCTGGTGATTTCCGGACCGAGTCCTTGCTGCTGGAAATGTTGCTGGGCGACTTCGTCTCCTGCTATGCCGGTTCCTTCGGTGATTCTGGGGGAACAAATGTTAGCAAAAGAGGATAGGCAAAGTTTCCGCGGACTGTCTGGGAGCAACCCACTTCTTGTATGCGGCGACAGTGTAGTCAAAGGGTTGGAAGTCGGTCTCGATCATGCGGTACAGGGTGTCCTCGCGAATCTCCTTCTCGGACGCGTCGCCCTTGAGCTTTTCCCTAGGCTTCTGACGGCGGGCGCGGGCCTCGAGCGGGGCCTCCTCGAGCAGCAGCTCCTCAAGGTCGTAGGTGGCGTCGAAGTTGGTCTTTTCGGAGGAGGGGACGAAGACGGGCTCTATGTGCTTCTGCTCAAGGAGCTCAAAGTCAAAGACCTTGAAGAAGTCGTGGTGTGTGAAGCTTTCCCACGTGTGGCCCATGCGCTTCGAGGCGTTGGGCTCCAGTGCGGCGCCGATGGCGTACAGGCAGCCTAACGAGACGGGCGGGTTCGTGACGGGGAACTTCGGGTTGGCGGCCTGGATCTGGCTGCTAAGGGTGCTTTCCGAGTTGCCCTCGAATGGACGCTAGGGGCGGATGTCAGCACGGGTTGGCTATACACGGAGTTTCCACGTTCCTGTCCTCTGGAAGGAGGAACGAAGTGGTTGAGACCGACCTTGTTGTAGATGCATTCGTAAAACAAGACTCCCAGAGACCACCAGTCGGCGCGGAAGTCATAACCCCCTCCGGCATATACCTCGGGGGCAAGGTAGGCGAGGGTACCCGACTTGCTGGTCAGAAGCTTTCCGGGTACGATATCTGAAGCGACATTCTGTTGTGTGCCATTAGCAAGAGACCCGGTTGGGTATGCGTCGAAAGCATGTGTGCATTGTCCTTGTGCCGTTGGGTTGTAAACATACAAAGTCTGTAAGATGGACATGGCCGTCGGCATCGAGAAGGACATTGTCGGGTTTCACGTCCCGGTGAATGATGTTCTGACCGTGAACATATCGCAGAGCACAGCCCAGCTCGGCGACCCAGAAACGGACAGCCTCCTCGGTAAAGGTCTTTCTCGAGATGTGGAATCGCAGGTCTCCGCCGGACATGAGATCGACAACCAGGTACATGTACTCAATGTCCTGGAAGCTGTAGCGCAGGTTGCAAATGAACGGGTGGTTGACGTGTTCGAGCATACGGCGTTCCCGGATAATGTTCCGCACACTTTCGGAACGGACGACTGTATTTGGTCAGTACTGTCTTCCTCCTCTTGTCTGATCCCAAAGTGAAAGCGAATATGCTCACCCTCATCTTTACGAATGTACTTCAGAGCAAAAGCCAAGTTGGTATCCTTGCGCTCAACAATGCGAACCTTGCCAAAGGCACCTCGTCCGACGACGCGCAGTAGTCGAAAGTGGTTCAGATTGACTGGGAAGGCGGATCAGTAAGTTGTACATGAATGATACTCGTCAGGGCCGTCTGTCCGGTACCCAAGCACAGAGCAAGTCCAGACTAGCCCCCCCCCCCCCCCCCCCCCCCCCCCCAATCCTTCTATGACGATTCCTGATCCCATCTGAGAGCCAGGGCGGGGGCAGGAAGGAGAAAGATTAATCTGTCGGCTTACCATCTCCAGAAAAGTCGACGGGCTTTCCCTGGCCGTTGCCCATGGTGTGTGGTGTGTTTGGTTGAGTTGGTTGGAATTGGATAGTTGGGTGGTGACGGTGTTGGTGGTCTATGGTGAAGACGGGCGGTCGTGATAGTGGATGGTGATGACCATGCTGCAGCGGGACAACGAAACACACCGACACGGAAAAAGAAGAAGGAAGGAAAGTGGACAACGAAGAATGGGGGAGAATGAGAAGAAGCGGAACAAGAATGTCTCTGTAGCAGCCACGAAAGAAGAAGGAAAATACAGAGACTTGACTCACAAGTGAGCGTATGCTAAGGAAAAAGCAAAGGGTTGAGAAAAAAGGGCGGGGAGGAAGAATGAAGGAAAGAAGAACAAAGGAGTTTCCTGGCTTGCTTTCCACGTTGCAGACAGCAGGCAGCCACGGTAGTGGTGGTGGTGGTGGTGGTGGTGGTGATTGTGGTTTAGTCTCGCTCTCTCTCTCGCTCGCTCGCTCGCCCTCTGGGGCTCGGAAAAGGGCCAGAAAATTGCCCAGTAGAGGAGACAGGAAAGATTGGATCGGGCTGACGGCTGCGTCGAGGCCCTGGGGAGGGGGGGGGGGGGGGGGGGGGGGGGGGGGGGGGGGGGGGGGGGGGGGGGGGCGTGTGCTTTATGTTGTGGTCCGTCCTTGCGGGAGGGGGAGGGGGATTGGGCGTTTTCTGGAAGGATACAGGGAATTAATTGTACGTGCACTCTGGGCGCTGTATTTTAGAGGAGAGGCAGGGGGGGGGATCTGTTACGCCAGCGGAGAGGAAGCGCTCGCTCAGCATGCAGCTAGCCGTGTACAGAGCAAAGCGGTAAGAAGCAGCAGTCGATAGTAGTAGCAATGTTGTTGGATAAAGGTGTATCAGTCTAATAAATCTATTCAATAGAAGGTCGGGACGAGGTACCGATGACTGATGACTGTTGGTCGGCACAAACCGAGGGCAGTCTGTAGATTGCAGATTGCCGTATTAATAATGACTGCCCGCCGCGCGAGCGTGTCACACAGAGAGAGAGGCAAGGCAGGAAAGACAGAGTAATATTACTGCAACAGGAAAGGGGGGGAGGGGGAGAGAAGAGGTATGTCGAGTCAACGGAAGAGAATGCGAGTAATTACTAGACTACGGAGTACAGACCGTTCTTATGGAGCCAGTCCCACGGCATACTGTGGGCTTGTCCTCGTAGGAAAGAGCAAGGGTAATGAGCATCACGTCGTAGGCAATTACGCTCTATCACACCCGGTTACGTGTGGGGGGAGGCTAAGAAGAGAAGCGAGGATGGCGAGGATTTCAGGTGAGAGTTGACGGGACGTGTTTCTAGCATCTTAGATACAGGGTGGTGACGAGAATGCTCGGTCAAGGTATGATATACTGACGGAGATGGCGGAGCTCGTCATCGATACTACGAGCATCGGCTCTCTACTCTGGACGGCTGCTGCTGTCTACGGGGGGGGGGGGGGGGGGGGGGGGGGGGGGTGTAGGGGGTCAGATACATGTATGAAGATGGCAACAACTGTCGATATGTCAATAAGAATATGATTGATGTATCACTATGAAAACCGCGTCTGGCTGGCCAGTGCTCAACGATACGGCGGCACCTCTGTACCTGTACGAGTACAGAGTTCACAGCCGGCCCACTATTACCGTAGAAAGAGGGCTTATATTATATGTAATCTGTAATCTGCACAGTGGTAGTACTCACTATTACCGTACCAGAGTCTACGAGTAACACCACACGTGTATGGAACTACCGTACCCGTGCAGGCACATGCATCCTGTGCTGTAGAGCAAGCTGTAGAGCAAGCTGTAGAGCAAGGGAGTACTCTGCATCACTCCGTACAGTGCTGTAGAAGCACGAGCAGAGTTTCATTGAGAGATAATCCCATCCCGTCGACCATGGATAACCTACTCGGTCCAGGTACCCACATAGGAGCCTCCATACTGATGCTAGTAAGGTGCCCACCGCTTAGAGAACCACGCTCCATGGCTGTCGAACCCGAGAGCGGCGCCATCCAACGTAAATGACCCTCTCAGCGGCCGTCTGTCCCACCGAACCCCTACGGGCGTTTCCTACAGGCGCTCCCTACAGGCGCTCCGTACACCACATCACAATGGTTCGGCGTCTTCTACCATTAGCGCCGGAGTGGGCGATGCTGGTCAAGCTGGTAGTCTTGCGACTATGAGAAGCTAGTAGCCTATAACCAGTATAGAGTTTTTGGGTATATTACTTGATGGTGATGTAGGTCAACTAGCATCGTCGTTGCCCGTATTACTAGCTACTATTACTACTCGTGACGCCATAAGACGTTGAGATGAAGGTTTTTCTTCTTACTCTACTCCTCCTCCTCCTCCTCCTCCTCCTCTCCTTCTTCTCCTTCTTCTCCTTCTTCTCCTTCTTCTCCTTCTTCTCCCTTCTTCTTCCTTCTACCTCTCCTTCTTCCTCCTCCTCCCTCTCCTTCTCCTCCTTCTTTCCCTGGCTCGACAAAGTGGAAAGAACACCATATCTCAGACGACAAAAGTTGATGCCAAGACTCCCAAAGCAACGATGCTGTGGAGAGGTTTCGCTCGACATGCACACAATAGCTGCATCACAGTCGTCGTCGTCTCCGCAAAAAGAGGCAAAACGGCGACGGAATCACGGAGTGCGACGCAATACTACACACTAGTCATGTATGCAATTGACTACCCGTACTAGACCGCACTCGTACTCTGTACGGAGCACAAACCTTGTGGCCCGCCGTCGATAGGTCGATAGGGACCCAAGGCTTTTCCCCTCCAGTGTCAGCTGGAACCAGGGGTGTTTCCACCGTCGGCTGTCATCGTCATTCACGTGAAGATGGACCAGGCCGTGGTACTTTGGCCGTATTCTCATCTCCATCATACATACCACTGTGATGATGCACGTAACGCTCTGATGTAATACTCGTAGCTGTGTGTTGCGATTACTACAAGAAACTCATACGCAATCAAGAAAGACACATCACCGTGACCATCATGTTCAAGAACACTCAAAAGCAGCATGCTCATCATCCCCTTCTCCAGCCCACCCCCGACGTCATATACCCCCCCCCCCCCTCCTCCTCCTCCTCCTCCTCCTCCTCCTCCTCTCTCTTCTCGACTTGACGTCGTAATCCTATGTATCTTTAATTCTTGGCTGGATCACGCGGTCCCTGATTGACCCGCAGGGGTCAACCCACTCGAGAGCGTCAAACCCCTCCCCCTTTTCAACCCTTCGACCCCCACCCCGCCCCTGTCCCTCTAACCCCCACCACTGAGCAACGTGGAAAGGAACAGGGTGAAGAGAGGAAAAAGAAAAGAAGAGAAGAGAAAACGTGTCCATCCGCGGGCGCCCCCGCCGTCAGTCTGCGCCCAGTCCAACAAACGTTAGCCTCACGGGATGGGTCCTGTCGTGCTAACGTAGTCATGACAAGTCATATGCTCCAGTCGAGAAGGGACGAGTCGTAAAGGACAAGAGGAGGAAGAAGAAGAAGAAAATCTCTTATGACTACCCGTGCACACAGAGTACGGAGGAAAGTGAATCGAACATGTTCAGGTACAGAGGCCGACTTTGCAAGGACTGCACAACTATCTACGAGTAGTATAGAGTATATATATATATATGTGTGTGTACGGCTACATGTACGTGCAAACAGTGGACCTGGACGCATCCCTCCTACCCGCGTACGGAGTTGAACCTCGGCACTTGGACGTACAAGTATTAATGAACACCGCGAGTATATGTAATCTGTACTCCGTACACAGTGATATGTAACAATACTCCGTACTTACCGTATAGTAAAACTCGGTAAAGGGTGACGGTAATATTACGGCTCAGTAACAAAGCAGCCTCGTACTCTCTCTCTCTCTCATACAGGCTTCGTACATGACGGAGATGATACTCCAACTTGGTACGAGTCATCGGGTCGGCTGTATCGATACATGACCGATTGCTCGCGTCTCGCCCTTCTCTTCACTACCAAACAAGAGCAGATACCCATGTACGGGGGGGTACTGCAGCTGGGTTTTGAAGAGCCGCTGTGGTCGATGCTGCTATACTCTTGACGTGCATCGTCACGGGTCGGGCTCGATGTTTGGGCAAATACTAGCAACTCCGATCAACCAGCCCTACGAGTGACTACGACTCTGTACCTGCGGAAGTAATCTGTACTTGTAAAGTCAATAGATCTGGCTTTGCAATATGCTGTTGGTTCTTGGCTGTTGGTTGCTCCTCTTGTCGTCGACGTGCCTGCAAGCCTGCAAGGCCCATGCTGCTCATCAAATGCAGGGGTCCTGCATGCCAAACTAATTGCAATCTACCAGTACGGAGTGATACCTCGAGAATAGTAGTAGGAATGATACTTTGCACGAGTACAGATTATGTACGTTTTATCTGCACTGTTACTTGTGCAGAGTTATCACGACTGTATAATCGTACATGTACAAGATAAATAGATGCTATCCGTACGTTTAGGAATATCATTACAGGCGCAGCAGCGTACGCGTACGGAGCAATAACACAGCTGCCATCGCACCGGAATAAGATCATGCTCAAAACGTCGTATGCATAGTGACTTGCCAGTATCACCATCAACTCCGTGCTCGTTTGAATGAGGCAGCACTGATTGAGTGATGCCGGCACCCCGCTCCCGTATTTTTCTAGTGCCATCTGCAACATTGGACGCACCTGGCATTGATCGGTAATGTCAAACACGTTTCGAAATCATGCCATGAACTAAGGGGGATAGGGGGACGGGGATTCATTCCCATCCGAAGTACGAGCAGGTACAGATAGATTAACGGGGGTCTAGTAATCAAACAGCCATGACGTCAGAGTAGAGGTATCGTAGAGCCATGTCATAAATGAAGAATCAGCCACGATTTCCAAGACAACAATATAAAAAACGGCGATAATGGTTATCAGGCATACACGTACGAGTACGAGTACATATATACAGATATGAACATCTAACAGCTGACACCCCGATCAACGGGAGTAGCAGTAGCAGTGGGGGGGTCATGGCCAAAGCTCTATCACTACTCTTGTTTGCACTGGACACGCAACATACCCTGTTGAGCCCTTCACTGGGGTTGGTCACCCTTCACTGAGTCTGGTCACGTGACAGCCACAAACATCTCATATTAGCTGGAACCTAGAACAATCATCACATCCTATCTGGTGCCTCAACATACCCTAAAGAACTCGCGACAAAGAGGTCCTGGTCAACGATAAGATGACCGAGAGAGGGGGCGAGCACAAGCACGTAGACGTGTACATTATATATATATATTTATATGAGTGGTTTAATTACGTGCATGTTTTCAGCATACGATGAGATATACAACCTTTAAGCAGTGACAGTGGAAAATTTCACTAAACAAACACTCATCAGGCACTAATGAGAACTTCCCGCACCTACGTAAATTTATAATAGCTTTCGGGAGTTAGTATAGGCAGCTTCAACAATAACAATGTATTAACGTATGGTTAGCAACCAGATTTCTAATGATGGCTTATAATGGTGGTAAAACAAGTGCAAGATTGAAAGATAGAGAGAGAGAAAAAAGGGGGTCGGGGGGGGGGGGGGGAAGCCGCTCCAACTCTCGGATTTCCCTTTTGTAGCGCCCTGGGTCCTGATGAGGCGCAAATGATGGGAGCTGCTCAGAGGNGGGGGGGGGGGGGGGGGGGGGGAAGCCGCTCCAACTCTCGGATTTCCCTTTTGTAGCGCCCTGGGTCCTGATGAGGCGCAAATGATGGGAGCTGCTCAGAGGGAACTAAGCGCTCCAGTCATAGCTCTTGATGTGGATTCGAGTCCCCTCCCCGCAGAGTAGGAACGACGACGACGACGACACCTTTGATCCTTGGAAGGGGGCGAGAGGGGTATTGATATCTCTTTTTTTTAAAAAGAAAGAAAAAGAATTTAAACCGCCTTCTTTTTGTTCTCTCGCTCCCTTTTCTTATGAAATAAAATCCCTTTTTTTATCAACTCGAAGTGCGGAGAAGAATTTTGAAAGAATGTCTCGTCCCTACGACTCTAAGCTTGGCATCGTGACGGGCGGTTCTCGAGGTAAGTTACATATCCGCCCTCCCCCCCTCCTCGAACCCCGCATCCCCACCTTACTGGATGCTATGCCAAGAACCAGATGACAGCGACAAAACCAGAACAAAGAAAGAGGATGAGAGAAGAAGATAGAGGAGGAAGAAGGAAAGAATGTTGACACACTGAAATCTCCCGCAGGTATCGGTGCCGCCGTGGCCGACCGTCTCGCCGCCAAGGGTTGCAACCTCCTCCTGGCATACACGTCCGACTCGTCCCGGGCACCCACGGAGGCCAAGTGCAAGGCGCTGTCGGCGACGCACGGGATTCACTGCTCCCCCGTTCAGGCGGACCTGAGCAAGCCCGAGGCGTCGGCGCGTGCCATCGTAGCCGCGGCCGAGGCGCTCTTCTCGTCCTACAGCAAGGGCGAGGGCGAGGGCGAGGGCGCGGGAGGGGAGTTCCAGATAGACATCCTGGTCAACAACGCCGGCGTGTCGTCCAACCAGCTGATGAACGACGCTCGGCACGGGGCCATCACGGCGGCCGAGTTCCGCCGCGTGTACGACGTCAACGTGCTCGCGCCGCTGATGCTCATGCAGGCCGTGGCCCCGCACCTGCCCCGCGACAGGTCCGGCCGGGTGGTCAACGTGTCGAGCGTGTCGTCGTCCATCGGCTACGAGGGCCAGTCCGTCTACGCCGGGAGCAAGGCCGCCATAGAGTCCATGACGCGCTGCTGGAGCCGTGAGCTGGCCGACCGGGCCACCGTCAACTGCGTCAACCCCGGCCCCGCCTGGGGCGACATGTACGCCCAGGCCGGCCCCGCCTTCTGGCGCATCAACCAGCCCTACGTCGACGCCGCGCCCCTGGCCCGGTACGACGGCGACAAGGCCGTGCTCGACTTGGCCGGCGACGACGCCCAGAGGTTCGACAAGACCGTCAGGGAGGGCATGGGCGGCAGGAGGCCCGGCTTCACCTCGGAGATTGCCGGCACCATCGACATGCTCTGCACAGAGGAGAGCGGCTGGACTACCGGGAGCGTCGTGTGTGCCAACGGTGGCATGAAGATGTCTATCGCTTAGAGAGTGCGTAGGCGGCACTTGACCAGTATCATGCTAGATGAGTACGGAGAAGAAGAAGTGTGGGGGAGATGTTGGCCGTGATATATATACTTGTCGGCATTATGCCTGTGCGTCGCGCGTGCGTGCGAATGTATAATGTATATATCACGTCTATCGCACCAGGTATAACAGACCCGCCAACGCTGTGACGTCAGATCCGCTGCTCTTGTGACTATCGCCGATTCGTTCACCTTCCTCCTTTGTCCAAGATTCCACTGCCTTGGCAGTCGATAATACGGTCTAAGTTGGTATATTGAGAAGTCGATAGCAATATCCGTTGTCAATCAACTACAAGGTCACCACCGCTCTAGTAGCCGCACGAGCGTGGCCTCCACTAGTTCGGCTGATTGGTCCTCCCCCCCTCCTCCCCCTCACTCCCGTCGATCTATTGTCTACTGCTTCTGGAGAGTGGGGTTGATGTGCACATTCGCTGGGCCTCTGAGCAGGAAGACGGTGGATATTGCCATATGCAACACATGCTTCCTATCCATCTCGGCAATGAGAGGTGGCATCATCGCTTGTGCTTTCAAGATCCCGCATCGTCGTATTCCTACGTCCTCTTTTACTACTGCTAGCAGTAGGTGTGGTCGCATCAGCCTCCTGGCCTCTGCATACAGCCATACGATAGCCGTCACTACTACCCTAAGCTTGACCCTCCCAGCAGCACCAGCAGCACCGGCAGCACCAGCAGTCATGTCGGCCATCGATGTTCGCTCTCTGGCTAGCCGCCACCCACACGCCTCAGCATCCAAGATGGCCGACATTCTCGACCTGGCCGTCAACGGTGGTGGTCAGTCGGCCCCGTCAGCTGACGATGTAGCCTCCGCGCTCGACAGCCTGTTCGGCCCACAGCAGCAACAGGCCGGAAACGAGGCTGAGTCCCTCTTCTGGACGCTGTGGACGCTGTACATCGATGTTGCGCGCCGGGTGCCCGCCGTGGACGACGACCGCCAGAAGCTCCTCGTCTCGGCCGTAGAGGCCCTCAAGTCACGTAAGAGGGGTTCCGTCAGGGTGTGGAGCAACGACTCTGCTGTCTGGGGTGATCTTCCTATGCTGGGACCGTGCATGAGGGAGGCATGGAACTGTGAGTTTCGCCATGTCCCCCCCCCCCCCCCCCACACACACACACACACACACGCGCGCGCGCGCATCCCTTCCAAAAGAAAATCTTTTAGAAAAAAAACACACTGCCATTTCTCTTCCTGCGGAAAGAATGACGAGAACTGACCCGAGGCGTGGCGTGTGTCAAAACGCAGCCACCCCCAATCTTAACGGCAGCGAAGCCGATAAGGCCGCCATGGACGCCTGCATCAACGTCAACTCGTTCGCCGCGCGGCTCCTCGGCTCCTCGGTCACGACGTGGGACAACCTGGCCGTCTGGTCCCTGCGCGACACGCTTGAGACGGAACTGACGGTCAGCAACGGTGACGGCGTGGACGCCTCCATCTCAGTGGCATGCGAGTGGCTGCACCATGCCGGAAAGGCGCTGCACGACAAGGGGAGCGGAGCGAGTGCGGCGAACCTGGACGATGCGACGAGGAGGGTTCTCAGGCCGGGAAGCCTCTTTGACGGCGAGTCTGGGCTGAACGATAAGAGGTGGAGGTTCTGGCGCAACAGGCTGGCGGCGCTTGCGGGCAAGGCGACTGACGTCGAGGTTAAGACCAGAGCTCAGAGTGTTGTACAGCTGATGGACATGCTGGGGGCATGATCTTCCTGAACAGAAATAAGCAGAATAGGTGAAGGGAAAAAAAGAGGAAAACGACGGATGAACAATAACTATGGCTTTTATTCTCTTAGCTAGAATAAAAAAACGATTAATGCTGCACTCATATATCTCGCTACTTCACATACAGCCCAACACCAACAACACCAACCACCTCCAATCCGAGACGCCATCTAATGCAAATTCGAACATGAATAATAAGGGGAAGAAGAAGAAGAAGGAGGAGGAGGAAGAGGCAAAAGATTAACCGTAGAGCATATCCTGATCATCCTCGTCGTCGTCGTCGGCCACCGGTGGCGGCGGCTCCTTCTTCTTCTCCATCTCCTCCCGACACATGGGGCAGGTGCCCTTGCTACGCAGCCAGGGCCCCACGCACTCGAGGTCGAACCGGTGCCTCCCCTTGCAGGGCAGCTCGACGACGAGGCAGTACTGGTCCTCGAGGTAGGGCACCTTGCAGATGGCGCAGTCGTCGTCGGCGGCCAGGCGCCTGCGGGGCACGCGGTCCAGGGTGTCGACGAACTCCTGGCTCACGCCTCGCAGGGTCGGCGGCGGGTCGTTGATGTCGCCCTCGAGGGAGGAGATGAGCTGCTCGAGGAACTCGCGGTTGCCGTCGGTCGGGGCCGTGCTCTGCAGGGTCAGCAGCTGATCCTGCAGCATGCGGAACAGGGCGGCCGAGTCGACGGGCGTCGGGGTCGCGTGAGGGTTGTTCTGCCGGTGCTGGCGGGGACCGGTCGTGTTACCGCCGTCCCGCCCGCTTGACGAAGGATCGCCGCTGATCTGGTCTAGGAGGGAGAAGAAGGAGGCCATATCGACGCGGCGGCCGCGGCGGGGTTCGCGAAACTGCACATTGTGCTCGACTGGTCGACCGAAGGGGGGTTAGCCCTGGCAAGAGAGAAGAAGGAAACAGGAAGACGATGAGGAAAAAAAAAAAAAAAAAGAGGGATACTTACTCTCGTATTGTGTTGCCATGATTCGAGATCGAAATGCTGTAGGGGGGAAATGTTGTAGCTGTGGAGGAGTTGATAGAGCGGGAGAAGAGAGGGAAAGGGAGAGGGAGAAAAGAAGAAAAAGTCTATGTAGACTGGCAGGCAGACAGTTGTCGTCGTCGTCGTCGCATCGCGGGGTCCCGTTTCCGACGGAGGGGCACAGACACAGGGTAAAGTGACGCCACTGCCGTGACTAATAATATCTTAATGCTCAACGTTCGACCAGGATGTAGACTATGGAGAACATGGTAGCAAAGAAGAGTAGCAAAGAAGAAGAAAGAAGATTGATCTATAGGGAGTAGAATAGAAAAGACGGATAAATAGAATAAAAGAATTGATCTAGGAGAAACTAAAGCATTGTAGGGAATGAGGGTGAACAGCACAGCCTCGAAGACCTCCCGCACTGAGCTGCGCTTCTTCTCAGTCTCGGCATGGACGATACCATCCCGCAATATCGGTACCACCGGTAGTGGCAACGGTGTCAGCAGAATCTGTGGTCGTCGTACGATGATGCTCCGGGGAAGACGTAGTCGTGTGCGGAGGAGAGGGTCGAAACCGGTGCGCAGGTAGCGTGATCCTCCTCGAGAAGTTGTATCATGACGGAGAGAAGAAAAAGAAAAAGACAAAAACCGCGTCAAGACTGGATGAGCTAGGGTTGTTTAGCATCTTTCTATCCCCTCTCTCCTCTCTCCTCTCTCCTCTCTCCCTCTCTCGCTCTCGCTCCCCCCCATCTATTCTGCAGCAATGACAGACATGTCGCAGGCAAGGAAGTGGGAAGGGTGAACTTGCTCTCGTACATCAGCATCCTTCCCGATCCTCCCTCATACGCACGAGCCGGACGGCGCGCAGAGGGCTCCCATAGTGGCACATCTACAGGCCTGCAAGGACGGGGACCCCAGGCCGCAGCAGCAGCAGCAGCAGCAGCAGCAGCAGCGCTCAGCATCGGATCCGGCGGCGTCGCAGCAGAGAGATGCATGCGGTGGCAGGTTGAGGGTGCCGGTGAGCGCCCACTGGGGGGGGGGACATTGGTCGCACGGGGTTTCCCGCGGGTTTCCCGGGGTGTCCTGATAGTCGATGTCAGCACCATGTACTGCTACCTCGTCTACACGCCGAGACGTTGATCTGAGGATTATCATTACCATGCTATTACATGCTGTTAGAGGAAGCATACTCTGTTGCAGCAGCAGGCCGTCGCCTTTTCCTTCCTAGCAGCCTTGGCCGCTCTGAGTCGTTCGATCTGCTAGGGGATGGGTACCATGTTTTTTGTTTTGTTCTTGACCGATGTAGTTTGATGGCGATGTGGAAAATGTGATGAAGGAGAGTAGGAGGAGAAGAAGGAGGAGAAGAAGAAGGAGGAGAAGAAGGAGGAGAACCCTGTGATGAGCAAGATTTATATTTACGCTGGAAGATCAGAACTTCAACGAACTCGTGAGAGAAGAGAAGCCATCCATGTATTTCGACTTCGAACCATACCATCTCCCATCTCACCTCTACACTGATGATCAACGGTCCAAGCTAGAAGGGATATTATATACAGATGATTTCGCCAGCATTCTAATTTATTATATATATCTAATCTTCTACACATTGGCAGTACATGTACTCTCGAGTACATGACTGCCCCCAAGAGTCTAATGCCATTAAAGCCACTGCATCGGCGCTAAACAATACGACAACTAAAACACCATCAAAGCCAGTGATTTGATGAGGCTTGGAGCAGGAGTTGATTGCATCATGACTAGGAAGCTCCACACAAGCTCCCTCCCCCCACGGACCTCAGACCGTCCCGAAGCTCCGGTCTGTTTTTCCAAGTCTGTAACAGAGACCAGGGTTTCCCCATACCCATTATTACTCTTCCCCATACTCTCTCTCTCTCTCTCTCCCTCCCCCATCTTCGCTCTCTTTCATCTATCATCAAAGACCATCCACATCTCCATTTCCATCCTCAATCTCACCAACTACCAACTCACAACGAATTTTTCTTCTCCTTCTTTCTCTTATCTAAAACCAAAAACAGAAAAGGAAACTTGAGAGGAGAAAAAAAATCGATACATAAATTAAAAAAAAATCTTGATTGAAGAAAAAAAAAAGATGACTTCTCCCATCCCCGCCGCCGTCTTCGGCTCGACCGGTCTGACCGGCTCCTTCACCCTAGCCACCCTCCTCACCTCCGAGTCCCAGTGGGGACCGGTGCACACGATCTCGCGCCGCGCGCCCTCGAACCCGACGTCTTCGCCTAGCCTCAACTCCGTGCTCGAGTCCGACACGTCCAAGTGGGCGTCGTCGCTCGGCTCCCTCTCCCCGGTGCCTCAGGTCGTCTTCTCGTCGGTGGGGACGACGCGCGTCGCCGCCGGCGGTCTCGAGCAGCAGTGGAAGATCGACCACGACCTCAACATCGAGATCGCCAAGGCGGCCAAGGCGGCCGGCGCGCGCACCTTCGTCTTCATCTCCTCGGGCGGCACCCGCGGCTTTGCGACGTCGTCCCTGCCCTACTCGCGCATGAAGAACGGCGTCGAGGACGCGGTGCGCGACCTGGACTTCGACAACGCCGTCATCCTCAAGCCCGGCTTCATCAACGGCCACCGCGAGCAGGATCGCATCCGCAACTTTGAGGGGCTGTTCCAGACCGTCGTCGGCCTGCTGGGGAAGGCGAGCACCGCCGCCAAGGACGCCATCTCCCAGGACGCCGACGTCATCGGTAGGGCGGCCGTCAAGGCGGCCGAGCTGGCGGCCCAGGGCAAGGCGCCCGCCAAGTTTTGGCTCGTCAGTCCTGCCGAGATTGTCAAGCTTGGCCGCAAGGAGGAGTGAGGCCAGGCTGTTGGCTGAAGCATCTGTTTGGTACCGTTTCCTTTTTTTTTTCTTTGGGGTGTGTGTTTTGTTTCCCCTTTCCCTCTCTTCTTCTATTGCTATACATGTATCGTCATCTACACCCGCTCAAGATTGTTTCAAGAAGCTGAAAAGCCAAGAAAAAGAAGGAAAAAAAACTGTATCATTTTCTATAGTCTAAAATGCATTCGAAGTTTTTTTTTTTTTTTTATGTATATGATCTGGCTCTATTTCTGATCGGCGGTCCTGACCTCTCTACAAATCTTTGAGAAGCCACTCGACATCTAGCTCGCCGTCGACGTCGCCCCCGTCGACGACCTTGGCCCTCGCCGGCGCCCAGCTCTTCCTCGCCAGACTGGCCCTGGCGACGTCGCAGTCGGTGCGGATGTCGAGCACCAGGTCGTCCAGGCTGTCGTAGTTCTTCTCCTCGCGCACAAAGTCCAGGACCAGGAGGCGCATGTGCGTCCCGTAAAAGTCCGACTTGAAGTCGTGCAGGACGTGTACCTCTGCGCTGCGCACCGTGTTCTTGTAGAATGGGTTGTAACCGATGGACATGACCATGGGGAAGATCCTGAACCCTCTCTCGTCAGTGCTGCTGCCGGCCTGCTGCGCGTCCTCGTCCTGTTGCGCGCCGCCGTCAGCCTGTGCTGGAGGGGGCAGGAGGATCGAGGCGTAGCCAAAGTAGACGCCCGACTTGACGGATGAGATCCACGGCGTTACGGTGTCGTCGACAGGTAGGTTGGCCGTGGGGATTCCCAGCTTTTCACCGGGTTTTTGCATCTCTCATGTCAGCCTTCCCCTCTTCTTCTTCTTTCCCTTCTCCTCTTTCTTCTTCTTCTCCGTTGTTGTACGTGATTGGTTCCTTACCTCTTTCGAACCTCGTCCAAACCCGGAAATCACCTTGCCCTCCATCCTTAGAGGGTAAGGAGGCTGAGGGCCGGCATCGTCGCCGACGATGAGGGGACGTTGAGTTGACATTTCGGCGGTCTCTCCGTGTGACTGGGGAAAAAAAAAATCTCCAAAAACTCCTTCTCCAACTCCAAACTCCAAACTCTGTACTCTGATACGCCGAGATAAAATCTTCGGTGAGATGTGATGAGAGTAGGGAGACGACTTTGGAGGGGTCCAAGGGCTGAACGAGGTGTGAGGTGCAGAAGCCAAGGTGGAGGAGGGGCACAAAGAATTAGTGGAACATTCCACGGCTTGTAAGACGCAATCGGCCGCCTGGGTGTTTGCAGCTGCATCATTATTTAATATACTATTCCATGTTTTCTCTAATGCCATCACTCATTCCTGCGCAGTCAAGTTTATTCTCTTATTCTCTTATTCTTCTCTCCTCCCTCTTCTTCATTTTCCTCCCTCTTCTTCATTTTCCTCCCTCTTCTTCATTTCCCTCACCTTCTTCATCATCTTCTTCTTCTCTCTCATTTTTTTCTCTCTCATCCTTCTTCTTTCTTATCACATCTTCATCTCCCTCCCCTACTCTTCTATCTAGATCTCCTCCTACTCTCTACTATCTCTTCCCCCCCCACTCGTTTTATCATATCCAACATTGATTTGCTCATATCTGCATCATCATCACAAGACATACATATCAGCCGCACACACACACACACACAGATACACCCGCTTTTTTTTTTTTTTTTTTTTTTTTTTTTTTTTTTTTGAAATAATAAAACAGAAACGTGTTCCTTCATTCGTGGTATCATATTCATCTCGCATAACCTCTGCTAGTTTCGCAAACGAGAAGCTCTCCAACACACACAGAGCATAGAAGCCTTCATTGACCAAGCCGGAAAGAGAAAACCACACCTAAAGAGAGAGGGAGAGCGAGATTGAAGAAAAAAAAAAAGAACTCGTAAATGCAATGTATGATGGAAAAGGAGAAAGATATATACATCCCTTGGTAGTCGATGCAGATCCGACGTCGATGTAAGCGCAACTCCAGGGCAAAGATCAGACCATGAGTTGGCTAGGCTCTTGGTTGGGATAGTATCGTGGCAGGAACTGTATCGGTCAGTATGGATCGTCTTTGAAGGGGTTTGAAGGTGAAGATGCAATAGACGAGAAGGAGGAGGAACGCACATTGATGATAATCATCATCGGAATATCAAAGACGTCCCTCTTGATAGTCCAGCAATACGTGCAGGCCACTTTTCCGTCCTGCTCTATCCTCGAGATACCGTGCTCCCCATCGATGGTAGTGACGCGATTGCTCAGCATCCCTTGCTGCTGCCGCCTCTGGTGCTGTGTTTTCGAGGGCGTACCCTGACCGTTATCCTCTGGCCGGTACTGTATGAGCTTGCAGCTCCTCTGGACCCTGCCGCGTGAATCCTCAAAGGCCAGCTGCGAGAAGTCCTTGTAGAATTCGACGATGCTGTCGTCGTCCATGAGTTCGGCGAGGAAGACTGGCTGAGGCCATGCGTCTGCTCCGTTGCCGTTCCCGTTGCCGTTCCCGTTGCCGTTCCCGTTGCCGTTCCCGTTGCTGTTACCGTTGCTGTTGATGTTGCTGTTGCTGCTGCTGCTGCTGCTCGCCTGAGATTTCGTCGAATCCTGATCTTGTCTTTCCTGTCTTTCTTGTTGTTGCTGTTGCTGTTGCTGTTGTTGTTGCTGCTGCTGTGTGGTGGTGGTGTTGTTGTTGTTGTTGTTGTTGTTGTTGTCCGACGATGCGGAGACGGGCCTGGCCGACCCGTTGGAGGGTAACCTCGCGTGAGCGTGACGGTTGGCCTCCTTGCCCAGCAGCACCTTCTTGGTCCAGCCCGTCAGGGCGGTGAACTCCTTGTTGACGGCGGCCACCTCGCCGGACCGGCGGCAGACGATGGTCGGGGCGCAGCAGTGCTGGAGGAAGTCGTCGAACTCGATGAGGGTGCGCTGGAAGCACTTCTCCATGAAGACCAGGTCCTCGCGCGTCAGGTCCTTGGTCGACGAGATGAAGGACGGGCGGATCTCGCTCAGCGTCTTGGCGATGCGGAGGAGCTTGTTGATCGGCAGCCGCTTGCGCAGCACGAGCACCATGTTGTGGAACCCGGCCGTGTAGGGGTACGGCTCCTTGACGCTGTCGTAGACGGACGCCGTGTCGCGCTGCGGGCGCTTGCCCAGGATCGACTGGTTCAGCTTGAGCTGCTTCGGCTTGATGCGCGGCGTCGTCGACGTCATGCCCTTGTTGCCGCTGCCGCTGCCGCTGCCGCTGCCGTTGTTGCCGTTGCCGTTGCCGTTTCCGTTCCCGCCAAAGCCGCCCGGCGACGTGCCGACATTCTGCGGGCTCGCCGTAGCGTCCGTGCTGGGGCTGGCCAGGCTCGTAGGCCCCGCCGCGATGGCGTACGCGTGCGGCAGGCCGTGCTGGAGGTTGCCCTGCGTGTACATGGTCTGGGTGGCGCCGTCCAGGCCAGATGCGAAGGGCGCGGCCATGCTGCTGCCGTCGAAGCCCGCCTGCTGCTGCTGCTGCTGCTGCTGCTGCTGGCGGCTCCCGAATACGGAAGAGTAGTCGGTGGGCGTCGTCTGGGACATCGAGTTCTCGCGCGGCGGCGTCTCGGCCCCGAGGCCCATCTTGTTGAGGATGCCAAACTCCCACCCGGCGTACTGGCTGCCAAAGTCGAGACCCTCGAGGTCGAAGTTGTACAGGGCCGGGTTGCTGGGGTCGAACAGGGCGTTGAGGTCCATCTGCGGGTTCGCCCCCAGCAGGCCTTCGACCTGGGGCGTGCCGTTGTCGGCCGCCGACCCCGGCGTGTTGAAGCTGGGCGACACCGTCGACGGCGGCTGCGACGAGGCGAACGACATGCCTTCGGCCATGCTGCCGCTGCCGGCACCGCCGCCGGCGCCGGCCTGCGTCGGCTGCTGCCCGCCGGGCTGGGTGGGGTACATGGGTGTCGCGAACGTCGACAGGCTGCTCTGAGAGTAGAAGTCGCTCGCCGGCGCGGCAGAGGCGGAGTCTGACTGTGCCGAGGAATCCTGCTGCTGGTGCTGCTGCCTAGGCGTCGTCGTGCCGCTGCCGTCCGAGGTGCCGGGGTTGTAGTTGGGGCCGAGGACGGGGCGCAGCGCCTCGGGTGGTGCGTCGTGGAGGTATTTCGCCTTCTTGCGCACGCCGTCCTGGCAGGCGTCTCCGAGGCCGCGCTTTATGCAGCGCCGACAAGGTCGCTCGTCACCTGCGGGAGAGGCCGGCTTCAGTGAGCATTGGAGGACGGGAAGGAGAAGGAGGGGGGGAGAGAGAGAGGGAGGAGACGATGGACCACACACATACCGCAGGTGAGATGGGCTCTCTGGCAAGCATAGCAGGCGCGCCTGGCCTTCTTGCGACGAGGTCTGGAGGGGTCCTTGGGGTCGTACTTCTTCTTGACGGCGCCGTTGGGGCCGGCGGATTCGTGACCGGCCATGCTGTCGTGGTCCTTGGAGAAGGATCCTGTCTCGTCTTCGAGGTCGGAGTTGACGGCGTCGGAGGCGTCTGCGCCATGATCGTGGTCATCTTCGGTCATCTTCCTTCTCGGGGGGGAGAGAGGTTGTCGGGGAGGGGGCGTCTATTATGATAGGTATGTACGTCTTCTCCCTCTCGCTCCGTGCATCTAGAGAGTACAGAAAGAGAGAAAGAGGCGGCAGAGGAAGGGGGAGGGGGGACCGTATGCCGGATCCAGGTTTCTTCTACACGTTCTACACGTCTCCAGGGTCCTGACGGCCCAATTGTCCGAGCGCCATGCAGGTGTGTCGCGGGACACCACACACTATGCGCAGGTGGCACCGCGCCGGAGAGGAGAAGGAGGTGTTCGTGCGGTTGGACGTGGACGAATGAGATGTCTCTCTATGCCGGCAGTAGGCGGTGCGGACAGGAAGACTATCGCTGCCAGCTATCCGTGGGGGGCAGGGGGGTAGATCGGACTCGATGCAGGCGAGCGGCCAGGCGGTGACGGCCGGTCAGGATAGATTCAGAAGCGCCTCGTGCGGAGGATTGCCAGCGCACAGCGATCGTGTAACCCAGCCAACTTCTCGATAGAGAGAGAAAGGGAGGGGGGGGGGAGGAGTGGACGGAGATTTCCAGAGATGAGAGGGGAACCGGGGTCAAATCTTGCACGGCGACTCCAAGGTATGGCGTATTATCTAGGTGTTTTTCGGGGAACAGAACTGTTGTTGGCTTTTTTCTTCTTCTTCTTTCTTTCCCCCCTTCCTTGAAATCGATAGACCGACGACTGATGTGCAGCTATCCGTGTCTCTTTTATGGCGCAAGATGCGCTACAAAGTTATTGGCGACTACCGGAGAGTAGCTGGAGGTGAGTGCGCGGAGTGTCGATGCGTGGGGACGCGAGCTTCCGGCGGGATAGAAGATATTTTTTCCCCCCCGAGGGGTTTGTTTCTGCGTCGGTGTATGTGCTGTGTATGTGCGTGTGCGCGTGCGTGTACAGGTCGATGGCTGGAGGCAGTGTTTATGTTTCCTCTCTTGCACCTTGTCTGCGGCGAGACGGTCTGTGGTGGTCTCCGGTTGTGGACGGTTGCCGGTGGCGGTGGTGAGAAACCAGACAAGGCAAAGAAGAAGAAGAGAGGGAAAAGAAAGAAGGAAGAGGCTTAGAGGGAAAGGATGTGAGAGCTTGAGGATCAATAGATTGAAAAAAAAAAAAAAAAATTGGCGGGCCTGTATAATACTCCGTAATTGTCCCACACCCCATGACGGACTCTTCCCCACGACGGACGGCCGTGGTACCGAGCTACGCATAAATTTACGGCGTAGCGACGGCCGAACAGCAGTCAGTACGCACGCTACTACTAGCTCAGCGCCCAGTCACTGCATGTACTGGTAATAATATACGAGGAGAACAAGGTGAGGAGGATGCAAGAGTAGAGAAAAAGAGGAGAGAAAAAGAAGAGAAGAAAAAAAAAGAAAAAGAGGAGGGACGAAATAAAAGAAGACTGGATGAACTTGCCGTCGTGCGCTCACACATCGGGAGTGCGACATGTGACGACTATAGTAGTGATGATACTCAGTAATACAGGCTCAGACTCATTCACGGATACAGAGCAATAATAATCCTCCGTATCATTACTGCAGCCACAACTGAACAAACGAGATTGGAAGAACTACAAAACCCACTGCGGGGTTTTCACCGATTCCCAAGACTCGGGGAGGGGTACAATCCTACAGTCGTTTTTTTTTTTTCTCTTTTTCTCTCTCGCTTTTTCTTCTTCTTTTTCTTCTTCTTTTTCTTCTTTTTTTTAAAAAATATATATACATATACCATCTCATCAGCCCGAGGCCCAAGATGCGCGTGCGCCGACGAAGCCTGTAAAGGCCTGTACGAGTAGAGAGTATTTCCGTAGTCATCGTCTCCCCCAGTCCGTTGGTCCGGGGATCGGCCGTCACATGTACCGTTTACCCTCCGTTTTGCAGGGTAGCTGCATATCGCTACAGGTCACCTGTACAGAGAGGGATGAGGGATGGATGGAGGGGAAGATGGCATCTTACCCCGTGCTTCTCTCTCAACCCCCCCCCCCCCCCCCCCCCCCCCCAATTCTATCTCTCTCTCCCTCTCTCCGTCTCTCTCCCCCTCTCTCTCCGTGTGTGTGTTTGTGTGTCTGGATCAAGGGCATGGTGTAACCTCATCACCCACGCTGGTCGCCGAACCATCATCCTCCACCTAGCCGAGGGGAGATGAAGCCATGCAGGTAGCCATTCGATATGGAGGGTCCAGGACAGGTACAGTCTCGACCGAAGAGATGGCGTCATGTGACGAGCATCAGTATCGAATGCGTCATCACCAGTGTTGATGTGTATGGCTATGGGAATACTGAGAGGCAGCAAGGTACCAGAAGAAAAACGACAAAAAACACGACCCGTTCCATCATATAAACACGTGCATTTCCCCCACGTAACATTGATGCGTATCTCTATAAAAAAAACCCAGTAGCTGTGGTCGGCATATCCGGTCCGAGGTTGTAGGCCACATGGGTAGGTGATCGGCATGTGCCATGCGCATGCTCGCACCGCTCTAACAATGATGATGGTTACCCGTCACCGCTCCTATGCGGATGGCTGGTAGTACGCAGTCATCACCGATGTGCTCCTCATTGTTCATGGAAATATAAGAGAATAGGGATAGAGTTATCGGGTATGCAGATAAATGTAGTGGATAGATTATATGCAGATGATGATATGCTATGCCGATATACCCCATCTCCGAAACCCGTCCTTCCTGATGCCGTGGTATCGATGTGTGTGTGACGCATGCTAACCTCGTATAGTCTCATCTTCTCTTCCATCCTCCCCATCCTTCCCCATCTCTTTTCTTCTTTCTTTTTCAAATCTCTTCGACTTCTAACCCCCCCAAACCCCAAACCCGCCGTATAGGTAGTCGTTCTCGAGATAGACTGGTCAACTCCCACCGCCGACCGATAGATGCTGCCCGGCGCACCCTAAAGCCTTCCAGGATCGACTGTTGCATCGCACAGCACTGCCACGAGGCCGCGCCCTGATCTCTCTTCAGTCTTTTCGAGCCTCTTTCACTCCTAGCTTTCATTTCCTCCTCCTCCTCCTCCTCCTCCTCCTCCTCCTTCCTCCTCCTTCTTCTTCTTGCTCCTCCTCCTTCTTCTTGTCCCTCATCCTTCTTGTTCCTCCTCCGTCTTCTTGTTCTTCTTCTTTTGGGTGTGCCTGTACATGTTCCTGGCTGGACATTGACGGTTGGGCAATAATACAACCCTGATCCCCTTGGTGGTAGTACGAGACCAGCAATCTTGATTTTCTCTTCCTGGCCCGGCTCATCTTTACTTCTTGGCAAATCGGCTCTTGCTTCGAATCCTCTTGCCGTATAGGAAAAAGATGTAAGGGAAAGGCGCCATGGCCAGTGTGAGAAAGGCCAGCAGAGACGACGCCCATTGGTAGCCCAGCTTTTCGTACATTTGCGTTCCGAAGAGGGGGAATGCGGCTGATCAAATTGTCTGATGTCAGCTCAGGAACGGCGGCGTTGTATATAGTACGCAATAAAGAATGCGAAGAAATGGCACGAGAAGATGACAAATGAGAGGAAGAGAAAAAGAAAAAAAAACAGACAAGACGAGACAACGAAACTCACCGGCAAACGTGCAGCGTACAAATGCATTGGCCGCGAGCGCACTGGCAGCGTAGTGAGGGTAGGCGTCGACCTTTTGGCAGCCTGATGTCAGTTGAAACATGCGGCAGCGAATGGGAGGATGAGCGGCTTACAAGAAAGGTAAAGATGCCAGAGAAACAGAGCAGAGTCCTACGAGGCGGGTGAAACAAGTCAGTCAAAAAGTCACATTCAATCCCCCCCCCCCCTCTCTCTTCTCTCAAAATTTGTCTTGGAAACCTGATCTCTGAAATTGAAGAGAGAAGTTGAAGGGAAGATGAAGAGAGAGCGAGGGAGAGGAAGAGAGAGAGAGAGGAGAAGAAAAATGAACAAAATAAAAAACATACCCCATGGCGAATACGCCGGATCCGATAATGGGAACAATCCAGTGGATGGAGGGATAGGTAGTCCAGCCGAACCAGAACAGGCCGACGGGCACGAGGACGGCGCCGGCGATGACGGGAGGCAGACGGAGCTCGGGTTCGCTGGCGCCCTGGACGCCGGTCTCGCGCTCCAGCTTGGCCACCAGACGGACGCGCAGCCGGGTCCAGACGGGGTCGCAGGCGGCGGCGAGGAGGAGGCCGGCGGACATGCCGGTGAAGGTGAGGCCGATCTGCCAGAGGTTGAAGCCGTGGTTGGTGGAGAAGACGAGGGCGAAGGCGCCGAAGAAGAGGTAGAGGATGCCGAGCAGCAGGGCGGACAGCAGGCAGAGGAGCAGGCACATGGGCTCGTAGATGAGCAGCTGGAACGGTCGGAGGAGGGAGTTTCCGACGGCGCCGAGGACGGACCGGTGCGCCCTCTCGGCCGGGGCCCACCAGCGGTCGTCGCCGGTGTCCCTCCGGAGGGCGCGGGCCTTGTCGCGCAGCAGGATCGGGTGGAAGGTCTCGGGCAGGAGGAAGACGATGGCGGCGAGCAGGGCGGATGACCAGATGATGAGGACGTAGTAGGTCCAGCGCCAGCTGACGTTGTAGTTGACGAAGCCGCTGACGAGGGGGCCGACGCAGGGCCCTATGAAGGGGGCGATGGAGAAGAGGACCATGGGCGCCTGGAGCTCGTGCCGGGCGAACAGGTCGCCGACGGTGCCGCCCGACACGGCCAGGAAGGTCGAGCCGGCGAAGCCGTTGAGGAAGCGGCAGACGATGACGGTCTGGACGTTGGGCGCCACCGCCTGCGGCACGAACCAGATGACGTACAGCGTCCAGGCCACCAGGTAGATGGGCCGGCGGCCGTAGAACTCGCTCAGCGGGCCGAACAGCATCGGCCCCAGCGCTATGCCGAGCACGAAGGTCGACAGGCCCAGCGTCGACACGATGCGCGACTCCCCGAACTCGGCCTCCATCTGCGTGTACGTGGCCGTGAACATGGAGCTCGCCGCCGTCACGCAGAAGCTCGCAAAGGCCGCGATCAGGGTGATGAGCCACTTGCGCCCGGGCGTGAACGACCGCGGGCACAGCGGATCGCTGTCGCCGCCGTCCCATCCCACCTCGTACGGGTCCCGCTCGTCGTCGTCGCCGCCGGTGCCCGCCTCGGGCTTGGCCTTGTCGCCGTCGTCCTCGTCGGCGACGCCGTAGCCGTTCTGCGAGCGCACCTGCGACAGCGTCCGGGCTAACGACTCGGCCGAGTGCCGTCGCCCCCGGTCCACCGATGCTGTGCGCATGTCGCTCGTCGATTCGTCCGGTGCTTGGGTGCTACCCTTTTCAGGGTCTGTGTCTGACGCCGTCATTTCTTCTTCTTCTTTTTTTCCCCCCCTCTTCTCTTCTAATTTTTTTCCTCTTCTTCTCTTCTATTATTTTTTCTCTTCTTCTCTTCTTCTTTCGTCCTCCCCCCCTTCTCTCTCTAGATCCAGAGTCGTTACGTGTATGTGTAGTCGCGGTCTTTTCTCGGAGTTGTCGTTTCCGCTTCTCTTCCTCCTTTCGGCTCACCGTCTATATGGCGTTGCAGGGGCTGCATGCGCACGCAATTTAGCAATCGAAAGTCCCGATCCCTCCTCTCGAGGAGAAGCAAGAGAAAATAAGAAGGGGGGGGGGGGGGGGGGGGGGGGGAGCAATTGAATCTGCCAAGGTTCGGGTGTGCATACGTTCTTTTATGGAACCGAGAATGGATAGATGTTCGTATGGTGCAGAAAATATTATTAACAGAGTAATACTAATAACGTGGTGGCATCATTATTACTGCAAGGTAAGGTAAGCCCTTCTTCGTATGATGATGGGGGGTACGCCGAGGTGTGGGATCTCGGCACTTCGTCATGAAACGTTATTTCCAATGCACGAGAGGGACATTGGTAATTGGGGGTTTTTGTGATACTATTTAATCACAGGTGCAGGTGCTCTTGGCTCAGCTAAGCAAGGAGAGAAGACGAAGGGGAAGAGAAGAAAGTAGAGAAAGAAGATACAAAAGAATACGCTCCATCTCGCGACCCGAAGTCATCGTGCGAAATTCGTTTCCGCCTGGAGTTCGCGCCTCGCCATTCAGTACGTCATAAATCCGTCGACCTTGGTCTGTTATTACGACTAGTCTCCTTGCCACCTCCTCGAGACCGTTGCCGTATCAGTAGTCCATTGCCTCATACAAACTGACTGATTGTTCTTGTTGTCTCACGAAGAAGAGAGGGAAGAGAAAAAGGACCCATGTTTTTTATGGGGGTTGGGGGTTGGGGGGTTGGCCCCACAAGTCGGAGGAAAACGACCAAATCTTCATAACCCCGAGAGTGTGTTTGATATTCCCGTGGCCGTAGAGTATTAATAATATTACACAAGAGTCATCGTCATCTTCTGGTTCAATTTCAAATCAATCAGCAGTAGGACAAATATGTGTACCTGTATTACCACTGCCCTCTCATACGAGTATGAGTTTCCCGCTACGATGCAGGATCCAGCTGCCAGCGTCCCTTTTTACCCTCCCCTCTCTATGACCAACCTCACTAACCCGGGAATTGATGTGCCGGAAGACGGGCCCACTTTCCGGCGTTGACGCGAAGACGCGAGAGCGAAGCGCCGATCAGAGAATGGCTCTCCCCTTCTCCGACTTGTAATACATGTTACGACGTATCAATCCCAACACCGCACCGGTCTCGTTCATCATCGACACTTGGTGATATGCCATCTGACTGAATAGATGAACAGATAAAACTTGGGTCGGGAGTCTCAATCATGACCACAACATACACTCACTTCTGCTCTGCTATCATATCCACATCGTACTAGTATTGCAGTAATAGCCATCGTTTTAGCATCACCGTCATCATCATGTCTTATCCACATCCCCATCTATCCGAAAATTGAAACACCGTACCAAACAAAACAGCTCTATATACTCTTTTGGCCCAAATCACCGAGAGAGAAGAGAGAAAGCGATGATCGAACCATGAAACAGAGAGGAGAGAGGCAAACCCCCCCCCCCCCCCCCCCCCCCCCCCTCATAGACCCTCATCGCCAAAGTCGGGGATATCCGAATCGCAGTCAAAGTCCCTCTCGTAGGCCTTCTTGGGCAGGATGCCGGCGGCAGCACCGGCCTTCCAGCTCCACAGGGGGGCGCTCTCCGTCTTCCAGGTCCAGTACCACCAGCCCCAGCCGATCTCGAAGCTGTGCATCTGGGCCTCGGCGAACATGAGCAGGAACTTCTTGTAGGAGTCGCTGAAGGAGTCCGGGTCGGCCAGGGCCTCGTCGCACGAGCAGCTCGAGTCGGCCGACGGGCACTGGGGCCCGCCGCTGTCGCTGGCCAGCGTGCCGTCCCAGCGGCTGCCGGCCTCGCCGCCGTTCAGCCTCGGCTCGCAGTCCGTGTCGGCCTGGGACCACTCGGCGAAGAGGGAGGGGCCGTACCCCTGGCTCGGGTCGAGGCTGAGCTCGGTCTGCTGGGTCCAGCCCGAGCAGGCGTACTGGATCTTGCGCTTGTGCGTGAAGGAGATGAGGTCGTCGTTGAAGACGACGTACTGGTGGACGTCGAGGACCAGGTCGTCGTAGCCCGTCATGAGGCCCTGCCAGTTCTCGAGGCCCATGAAGCCGTCGCCGAAGACGACGAGCCCGCCGATGCCGTTTCCCTTGACCAGCCCGTACGCCTTCTCCGTCCACGCCACCACCTTGTCGGCCTCGAGCTCCACCATGCGCGGCTCGTTGGCCAGCCCGTAGTGCGTGATGATGTTCCTGTACCGGTCCTGCGCGAAGAACCGCGACAGCCGGTCGTGCACGTCGATGCTGCGGTCCGCGTTGGTGTCGCCGTCCGTGCCGTTGAGCCAGTTGATGGCCCCCTTGCGCCCGCTGTGGTTGTAGCCGTTCTGGCTGCCCGGCAGCGCGTGCAGGTCCAGGTTGACCCGCAGCCCGTGCTGGCGCGCCCACTCGATCCCCCGTAGCAGGTACCGCCACGACGTCCGGAACACGTACGGGTCGCCGTCGTACACCGCCACCGCCCAGTACGAGAACGGGATCCGGACGTGGTCCATCCCCAGCTCCGCTATCTGCCTGAAGTCGTCTTCCGTCACGAAGCTCGCGTAGTGCTCCTCCAGCGTCGACGCGCACTTGCTGCTGCCCAGCTTCGTGCACAGCCCCCACTCGTCCACCACACCCTCCGGGAATATCGACGGCGTGATGAACGGCTCCGGTGACAGCCACCCGCCCAGGTTCATCCCTCGCGCCGGCTTCGTCGAGTAGTTGCCCCACGCCTCGTTCAGCGCCGGCACCTTGTCGTTGGCGCGCGCCGAGTCGTCCCACTCCGACATCAGCCCCATCACCGGTAGATCCCCGACCATCTCGTCCGTAAAGGTCGTGTTGAAGTCCGTCGTCGTCTTCCACGTCCACGGGTCTAGGTATGTATTCCTCCATTTCTTGGGGATCTCGCTCCTGGCCGAGTCGTCCAGGCTCGAGTCGCTGTCCTCGGACTTCTTCTTCTTCTTGCTCACCACCACTGCCACGACGATGATGATGATGAGAATAACCAGGCTGCATCCCAGAATGATCCCTGCTCGTGCCCGCTGTCAGCTTTTTTTTCTGTTCTTTTCCTCTCTCTTCTTTTTTTTTTTTTTGTTCTCTTCCCCTTGCATATTGTCATTCACGCCTGAGACGACTCACATAACTTCTTCTTCTTCTTCTTCCTCTTCTTCTCCGACGGCTTCTGGTAGTGATGATCCGGCTTCTCGTAGCTCTGATCGCTCCATCGCCATTCCTTGCCACCTCCGCCTCGTAGCCCCCCGCCGCCAGGCTTGATCCTCCCCTCCTCCATCATAGCCCCGCTGACCACCCTCCTCTTGCCCTTCCCATTATCCCTTCCCTTGGCTGGTTTTGCGCGCCTGGTCGCCTCCCTGGCTTCGCGGTCTCTCTGTCGCCCCTTTATCGGTGTGGCTTCCTGCGCTACCTCGCGGTAGTCTGAGCCCTTGGTCGCCTTCTTTGTGCGCTCGGCCTTGCGATTCTTGCGCGCCTCCTCCCGCTTCCTGCGTGCATTTTCCCTCTCCAATTGTGCGAGGGCGTCGCTCGAAAGGGATCCTGAGCCACTGCCGTTCTCTTCCGATGATGATGTCGTCGTTTTTGGTCGTGATTTCCTCCGTCTGCGCTCGTCTTTGCGTCGGGAGGCCTCTCGTCGGCTGTTTCGTGCACGGGATGCTGCTGGCCGGGAGGACGAGTGTCCGTGTGCCATCGGTACCGTTAGAGACCCTTTTTTTTTTTTCTTTCCCGCTTGATTTGAAGTCTTTTCGTCGAAACTGTATTCACATGTGACCTTTTTCTTTGGCTGGAATGTTGGTTGAGCAAAAAATAGTCAGCAATTACCTGTATCTGAAAACGCTCTCGTGTCGTGGCTTAACGCTTGCACACGTCATGTATTCTCCTTGGCTCATCTCATTTGAGCTTAGATGCATTCGGCGGGTGTTGGCCGGGCAACAATCTGTATCAGGTGGATCGATCAAAGTGGATAGCTGCGGCTCAGCAGATGCCCGCGAATGGCCGCGACAAGCCGAATGGCTGACAGCCACCAAACGTCAGGAGGCCGGCGGCATCGTACAGGCAGATAGGCTCTCGATGTTCCCCTCATCCTGTAAAAAAGACAATACTAATCAAGTGTGAAGAAGAAAAAAAGAGATTGATATTGTCTCCTGTAACAGAGCGCACAGAAGATCCGGGGCCATCTTACGATCAGGTACAGAAAAAAAGGTGATGAGGACCAGGGTGGTGACTCGGGCAACTTGCCCCGCCGTCGCGGCATTCCGTCACCGCGGCGGCGGCGTCTCGAGCTGGCCTCGCGATCACAGGTGCTACTCGACACACCTTCCCAACGCACGACTGAATGTACCCATCGATTATACGACGACTAACCTGCTGGCACAGACGTCGCAGGCGGCGCTGCGCAGCCCAGAGCTCCCAGAGGAGATCCGCCGCGGGTCGACGCGGAAGATGAACCTCTTCCAGGCGGTCGGGGACGCGCTGAACATCGCCCTGAGCACGGACGAGACGGTGGTGGTCTTTGGCGAGGATGTCGCGTTCGGCGGGGTGTTCCGGTGCACCATGAAGCTGGCCGAGACGTACGGCGGGGACCGGGTCTTCAACACGCCGCTCAACGAAGGGGCCATTGTGGGGTTCGGCATCGGCCTGGCCGCGTCGGGCATGAGGCCCGTGGCGGAGATCCAGTTCGCAGACTACGTCTTCCCGGCCTTTGACCAGTTCGTCAACGAGGCCGCCAAGTACCGGTACCGCGAGGGCGCGTGTGGCCGCCACGCCGGCGGCCTGACCGTCCGGATGCCCTGCGGCGGGGTCGGCCACGGCGGACTATACCACACGCAGAGTCCCGAGGCGCTCTTCACCCACGTGCCGGGGATACGAGTCGTCGTGCCGCGCTCGCCGGCCCAGGCCAAAGGTCTGCTGCTGGCGTCGATCCGGTCCAACGACCCCGTCATATTCATGGAGCCCAAGATCCTGTACCGCGCCGCGGCAGAGCAGGTGCCCACGGGAGACTACGAGCTTCCCCTGTCCAAGGCCGAGGTGGTCAAGCAGGGCAGCAACGTCACCGTCATCTCGTACGGTCAGCCCCTCTACAACTGCATGGCCGCCATCGCGCGCGCCGAGGAGGACATGGGCTTGTCGGCGGAGCTCGTCGACCTGCGTACCGTGTGTCCTTGGGATAGACAGACCATATTTGAGAGCGTGCGCAAGACGGGAAGGGTCGTCGTCGTCCACGAGTCGATGAAGAATGGGGGTGTCGGCGCAGAGGTCGCCGCCGCAATACAGGAGGATCCGGAAACCTTTCTCCGCCTCGAAGCTCCCGTGTCACGGACGGCTGGCTGGGATATCAACACTGGGCTGTCCTACGAGAAATACAACATCCCAGATGTTGCGAGTACGCTGCTCCTCCCCTGGGGTTTTTCCCCTGAAGGAACAGGAGAACCGAATACTGACCATTGATCGCAGGAATCTATGACAGCATACGACAAGTCACCAGTTACTGAACGTCACCTTGAATGTTAGCAGCATTGGGAAGCAATACAGACAAGTGTATAAGGGGATGGGTCAGCCAAACTGCTCTCATAGCGATTATCTCCTGATGCGTAGAAAGATTTCGATGTATGCATAACGTTACTCGTCTTATCTTCACACACTACTGAGGCCGCTGCTAGGATATCATACCAACGATGCTATAATACAAGTAGGTACTCGGATATGCTCTGTGGCGTGCCGGCTGTCCGGTTCGATGGTGTATTCCAAGCTGTGGCGAAGACAAATGCGCCGCAGCACGTGGCAGGAGAACGAGCTTCGTGTCCGGTGGGCGCTGACCTTGCTACACCATGGATTCTTGAGGTCCACATGTGCACACGCATCGGCCAGAGCCGAATTACGAGGATAAAGCAACCACTGGGCTCGAGATAAATTTTTGGCCTCAATCTCTAAACCGCTGTCTAGGTACCAAAAATGGAACGTGCTTCCTCGTCGGGCTGGGCTCGGCCAGCTCGAAACACTACGGCCAGCATCTTCCCAGATGACCGTTTCCATCCTTCTTAGCCTGCTTAGCTTCCCTCCTCTCATCGGTCTCCATGGGTCCTGTGCATTAATGGAGTGCTTGGAGTGCTTGGAGTGGCTGCCTGCGCTTACCCAGCATGGCTCAACTGAGTGTCCTGGTCACTAGGTAAAAAGCCGCTGATCTGATATTCGACTACATTAGGCCCCCCAGGTCCTGGGACAGTCCAGTTTCTAGGAGCGACGGGACGTCAGATTTTAACTCGGACGGCAACTGGTTGATAGCCGAACAGAGCTTCTTAAATTGCGTGGACATCCACGTTATCGTAGATGTTGTTATTGGGACGATATGCCGTCCACTCGTCCCTGCCGTCTAGCTCCATGAAGGTAAAATTACGGATCAGGTGGCGGTAATGCTTTACATCCTTCCCATCGACCACCGCCTAGTGGCCGTAGATACGCATCTATTGGTGGTCATGCGAGATAGAGAAGGCCGGGGATCTGTCGATAGACCTCGTCTTCACGGTTCACAGCGCGGAAGAGCTCAATGGTGGCCCGCACCTCAAGAGTCATGCTCCGCAACGTCTAGCGCTGTAGCTCCGCATTGCACCTCGCACGTTAAGGAGGGGAAGTACTTATAGTACGCTGCTATAAAAAAAAAAAAGACTGGTGTCCAGCAATAAAGTCGCCAGTAAATGGGGATGGTTTAGCGAGTTGGTCGTCGGTGAATGCCTCGCGTTTAAACCCCACAGAATAGTCGGTTTGTGGGCGGGTGCCTGTCAAAGGGATCGAGTTGCTCCACCCCTCGCTGACGCTCTCGATCAGAGTATTTGAGGTGTTTGGCACGAAGAGCAAGGGTCTCCGCAGAAGGAAGGATTAGTCGAGACGTATCCTGGATGATCCTAGTCTCATTCTTATTCCGTACATTGCGACATGCATCCAAGAATACCACATCGTCGAACATCGTATCTCCGGGTATTGGTTTTCCACCGTCGAGGAGGTTCCGAGCAAGATACTTGCTCGTATCCGTCAAGTCCTGGATGGACGTATCGAGGTACGAGCCCTTTGTCTGAAGTAGGAGCTCGTAACGGGTGTCCCCGTACGGCGCACTCTTTTCCTCCCTCGGCTTCGGGTCGCTTGGGGTTGTGGACGTTGTAGAGTTCGGTCGCCTGCCGGTAGGAGAGGAAAGTGACCTTTTTCGCGCAAGTATGCGCTCCATGTTTCGTTCAGAATATTTACGCGGACACTGCCCCTCTGTCGCCCAGAAGCGGATCGAATCAAGCCTGCTGGAGGTCTTTTTGATGATACGGACCTGTAGACGGTCGACACCGCCTGCGAATAGTTGCTGGCTCGCAGTTGAGAGCATCGGCTGGCCGTTTCGTACCGCGCTTATCAGATATCGCGGGAATCTTCTGCGACCGAATGTAAGTATCCGCATACATACATGCATATATATATATATACAAAGAGAGTATATCCGGAATGCCGCACCTGCCGAGGCAACGTCTTCTCGATCGGAGATGAATACGGTTGATCGTATTCAGGATGCTGGAAAGCTGGTGGCTCTTGGTGGCATGCAGCCCGACGGTTGCTTATGCGCTCGCTCACTCTCTCCGGTCTATCACCTGCTCATAACCAGCAACGTCGTCATCAGGCGCTCCATGAAGCCAGTAGGTTGACACTGCTGCGTCGACGATACGCGCACCTTTCGGGCGGCCAACTGCGCTCGGGTGCGGGCCGTGACGACGAAAATACGACGAGTACTTGAGAGGAGTATTACGAGTAATTGATCTGAATAGGTGAGAAGCGGTTACTGGAGGGCGATAAGTTGTAACTGGGTGCGGGTGGAGAAGAACGTACGTCCTGCCCCCGCTCAATACCTCTGGGGCAATCAATGGTTGGCGCCTCAGCACATTATTAGTGGATGCCCACTCTACTCACCCAAGTCCCGCGATCGGCTGGAGCTGGAGAGCAGACTGCACTTTTATATGTACATGGAGTCCCTCTTCTCTCCACCGTAAGACGTCGTCGGCTTTGCGCCTAACTAAGAGGTCTCCTGATGAAACTTTCCCCCACCGTCTTCTGTTCAACAACGATTCGAACTTCCCAGCCAAGTTAGACGAGTCCCTACTACACAATGTCGCACCTCGAGGCTGTGTCGGCCTTTGTGGAGGGAGCCCCCCCCGGCGAGGTAAGCCCACCCAAACAGCCAGGAGCTCAGCCCTCCTCGAGCTCTGGACAGCTTTCGGCAGGGAAACCCAACAGGTGACGGTGCAGTTGGCTGACAATGTGTTTATCTCTCCTCTTCCTCTAGCTCGGCGACGTCGTTGCTGGTACACATCAATCCGTCCCCCTCTCTCTCTCTCTTACCCCGCCTCGGACGGAATTCCTGAATTGACGCAACCGCAGATATCAAGTCCATCACAGCCGAGACGGAGCCTGAGCTCGTCGACCAACTCACCCCGGCCTTCAAGAAGTACAACGAGGAGCAGTTCATCACGGTGAAGCTTCCTGGAAGCAGCCAGCCGGTATGACTACCTGGGGTCCCCCCCCCCCCCCCCCCCCCCCCCCCCCCTTTCCTTGCAGGCACGTTTGATCTGACCGCGCCGGCAACAAACAGGTCATCATCAGCTCGCACAACTCCATCGGTGACGACCGGTATTTCGACGTTGAGACCTCGTGCAGCTTCTCGTTCGACCACGCTACACAGACTGCCAGTGACGTGCAGAGCTACGGCGTCGATGGTCCCCAGGCCGACCTTGTGTATGTTGCAAGCAAGATGCGGTCGCGGGAGGAAGGGAAGAGAAGGTGACGTCTGCTGACAATGTGGACAGCAAGTCGACGCTCAAGGCCCTAGGCGTCTACGTCAAGGAACACTACCCTAACGCTGCGTATGGCGTATACCCTACCGAGTCGGACAGCAAGGTTGCCGTCGTCATCGTGGCCAGCAAATACAGCCCCAGCAACTACTGGTAAGTCTACCCACTGCAGCCTCCCCCCCTCCCTTCCTCCCTTTCTCCTCTTTTATTCTTTCTTTCCTTCTTGACGGAAAAGAAAAGCCCCGGAGGACTTCTCTGTCGCATACGCTGACAATACACGCGCATGCAGGAACGGTCGTTGGAGGTCCTTCTACATCTTCAACCCGTCGGACGGTAGCCTCGAGGGCTCCGCCAAGGTTGACGTCCACTATTACGAGGACGGCAACGTGCGCCTCCTGACGGACAAGGGTGTGTCGGCTTCGGTGCCCTCGGGCACGGGCGCCGGGATCGCAAAGGAGATTTCGGCCGCCGAGAAGAAGTACCAGGACGAGCTGAACAGGGGCTTCGTCAGCCTCAGCGAGGGTGCCTTCAAAGGTCTGCGGAGACAGCTACCTGTAACCAGGCAGAAGATTGAGTGGGACAAGGTCACCGGTTACCGTCTTGGCCAGGACATTGGCGGTGGAAGCTCCAAGAGGTGATGATAGTAGCTTGCTGTTGTCGCTGATCAGGCATCATAATGATTGTTATGTCTGCATCATCATCCCTCTTCTCCGTCTCCTTCTTGGGGCCTCTTACCTGTTGAAGAAGAAGGAACTGATCAGAGTGAAAGCGGGAAAAGCCTTTGATCTGAACGGCATTGCGTAGATGTGCAGAGTAAGAGCAACTCAGGGAGGGGGCAAGGCCAAGCGGGATGAAGCCGAAACGAAAATAAGGACAGTGCATCATTACCGGTATGGATACCCTGATACTGGCACCCGGGATACATTTCGATCTCGGGTCGGGCTTTCGATATCTCCCCGCACGCATGTCGGGATGTCGGCTTGTGCGGGGAACCGAAGGAGGGGGACTCACTGCCCTTTGCTATATTGTTCTTCAACACGAGTACATTATACAGACCATCTTACCCCATTTTCCCCTCAGGCAAAGAAGGTTATCGTCAGTAGCTGCTCGTACGTGGGAAGCCGAGCTTGGCCCGAGATCTCACAGTCTGCCTGGCAGGAGGTGTAGTATTCGCCTACGGAGGGGAACTAGGCAGGTCCCGCGTGTGAGCTGGACAGCTATCAGCATAGGCCATAGGCCATACCACTCATGATTATTGAAGATCTGGAGCGAGACGAGATGGAAAGCTCGGGCTCGGATTCGTGACTCTATATATTCGGGTTCGCTTTCGATTCTTATATCCTTGAAAACAAACATGACCTCTTGAAACTTGGACGGAATATGCCAACTTGTCTCTTGCCAACAACGATGAATACGAATACGCCGACCATGGTAGAGAGCACTGCCGGTCGTCGTGCAGTATCGTAGGACGGGAGAATGTCGCAAGCAAAGTTCTGAGCCAATGACTATTGGGTTTGCGTAATTTCGCAATCCGCCATTGGCTGGGTTCGGGGGGAAGGGGGGGGGGGGAGGTCGCAGTGGATAGGGTCCGCTAGGAAGCCGGATGTCAGGACGCAACCGTGGCACCAGAATTGCCCTGTGCGGATTTATAGACTACCGGTTTTCAGTGCTTTGCTGTCACGTCTCTGTTGCCCGAATCTGTTCTCTTAGGCTGTAGGTGCCCTGCTGGCGTTATCAACACGGGCCAGCTCCATGACTGCGAGAAATCCCCGAAGGAGAGGGGAGGGCAACCCCTCATTGCGATATACCTTTATCTATTCCCTTTATCTATACGAGCTCATGTGTATGTGAATTTTTTTTGCCCTTATTGTTATTTATCGATACGGAAATGCTAGACGAGTCAATTTGTTGCCTGTCCTGGTGCTAGTGCCCGGTGCCCAACAAACGGGTGGGAGTGGGAAGAGAGGGGGGAGTGGGGGGAGGACAACATCATTTCTGATCTCACAAGCCACATCTTGGCAATAAGAACGTCGTTTCGTTAGGCGGGAAACAATCAGTTCGCAACACCGATCGTCCCTCGAGATAGGGCATCTGTATTTCGCGGATCATGATTTCAGCTTCCCAAGAGGAAAGCAGAGAGAGAAACCAACAAGAAAGAAATTAGAAAGATACGAAATACAAGATGGATAGAATACCAGGATATGTGAAAATCAATGCGCCGTGGGGTGACGAGAGGACACAATGCACGACAGTAGATGCTGTCCTCAGCAGTATTACCACAAGAGGTTAGAGCGCCTGTGCGTACCATGCACCCACTTTTGGCTTTTCCCTCTGCACTCTGATGGCGGACCCTGGAGATTTGCGAAATATGGTGAAGGAGCAGCGCGCGCCGGCCAGCTTTTTCCTTCCCCAGAAGGGGGACCAGACCAGACCGCCCTCTTTCCTCCTCCTCCTTCCTCCCCATCTCACACCACAACCAACTCCAGCGAAAACACGCCATCTCTCCGTCTCGCAAATCAGTAAAACTCTCTCAACCCGACCATCCCATTCTACGAACCCAATTCCGTCCAACCCCGACGCACACGCAGACACACAATATGTCGGACGACGAGAAGACCAACACCCTCACCTACCAGGATGTTGCCGAGCACAACACCAAGAACGACTGCTACCTTGTCATATACGACAAGGTCTATGACTGCGCAAAGTTCATTGATGAGCACCCGTATGTAGACGACTTTCCTCCTCTCCCCCCCTATTTCCCCCCCTTCTTCTTGACACCCCATCACTCCTCCCAACCACGTTCTGTTGGCGGAATTTTTTTTTTGTTGAGAAGCGATGCTGACTGGCACTGATGTAGTGGTGGTGAGGAAGTGATTCTCGACGTCGGTGGTCAAGACGCCACCGAGGCTTTCGAGGATGTCGGCCACAGTGATGAGGCCCGCGAGGCTCTGGACAAGCTATACGTTTGCGACCTGAAGCGCCAGGTATGCTTCCCCATCATCACCACCCCTCCCCTTCTCCCCCTTTTACATGATGCAGAGAGAGGAGATAGCTAACGCACCATCGATCCAACAGGAGGGTGACCCTGCCCCCAAGTTCGGCCCCCCCGCTGGAAGCGGCGCGTCAGGCAACAGCTCGGATGGTACCGGCCTGGGCACAGCCCTGTACGGTATCGTCGCCGTCGGCGGTCTCCTCGCCTACCTTGGATACAACTACTTGCAGGCCCAGCAGCAGCAGCAGCAGCAGCAGGTCTCGTAATACGACACAGACCTCTCTGATGCATGAACAATAAACGAACAATAACAAGGCCATCATATAGAGCCAACGATACACAAAAAAAAGGACACGGCAGAAAAGGGATTTATTTGATCTTGGCATAGACACGGGATGAAATGGGGAATGAGCTTGGTGGAGAGAGGGCATGCCACCTTTTCTCTTCTTTCCACAACCAGCGTAGCACCGACGAGCTACTCGCTTTCGAATCGGATGCGCCTGGAGGGAAAAATGGGATAAAGCTTACTGGGAGTTGCTAAAACTTGGGACAAAGGGGAGCGGAGCAGGTTTGACATCCTGGATACTTTTGATTTTGACTTCTTTTTTTTCGGGATCGTTACTATTAGAGCTTATTTGTAATTGACGATGGCCTCGGCCATTCTTTTTTCTCTTCCTCTTCTCTATTTATTTCACCCTTGTTTATCATTGCTGAGAGATGCTATTTGTCGTGGAGGTAGAGGAGGAGAGGGGCATAGTCGGGCTGGCCGACAGTCCCATCGGACGAGTACGGAGTACACCAAGTGATATTGGTACTATCGTGGTCAGATAGTCAGTTACCAGTGTGGGGTACTATTACCACACACCAGTACCTGGCCCTGATACTAGAAGCCCCCCTCCCCCTTTGCTGACTCTCAACAAGTATGCGTGATGGCCATCGAAAGGAGCGTGCGGACGCACATGTTCATCCGCTACTCGAGGTGTAGCAGGGCGCGCATGCAGGTTCAGCTCCGACCTTGGGCATGGCTCGCCTCGGTCCAAGCGTATCTCAAACTGGGATGGAAAAAGACATGTGTACAGATGGGAGTCTAAATTGTGGCGTAATGTTGCGCCACGGATCGACATTCACCAGCCACAGGCGCTGGTTCTGTGCTGTCTCTGCTTACGTAGTAATATGTGACCAACGGCAAACGTTATGGAGGCTGATGTCAGATCTCACACTGCCCATCTTTTTTTTTTCTTTTTTCTTTTTTTCTTTTCCATCGTTGCTCGATCGTCACCCGTTCCCTCCTGTGCAGGCCGCCGTGGAGAGACAAGACAGATAACCTCTCGTCCATAATGTCGTCGTTCCTGGAGAAGCAATCGTCCGCCTTCAAGGGTACGCTCGCGTCGGCAGCGTCCAAGATTTCGAATCCCAAGGGCGCGGCGGCAGCAGCAGCATCATCGACAGCGCCTCGGGCGCCATCCCCGACCCCGTCGGCCACGTCTGAGGGGAACAAGACGCCTACGACGAAGCGGAAGCGCGATGCGGCGCCGGAGGTGTGGTCTCAGCCGCAGCTGACGGGGTACGGCTCGGAGGTGAAGACGCAGATGACGTTCGCGGTGGACTACCTGAAGAAGAAGGGCACGGCGGCCAAGACGGCCAACGACATACTGGACCACCTGTCGCTGCGGAGCTTCACGGACGACCACAAGCGGGAGCTGATCGAGGGCCTGAGGCGGCACCCGCGCGTCGAGTGGCGGCCGGACGGGACGCTGGCTGAGCAGACGTGGCGCACGGGCCGGTACGTCTACCGGCCCATCATCACGGACGTGCGCGACCAGACGTCGCTGATCGCGCACCTCCAGCGCAAGACGGACGCGTCGGGCGTGTCGGTCAAGGACCTCAAGGATGGCTGGCCCGAGTGCGAGGACGCCCTGACGTCGCTCGAGCGCAGGCACAAGGTGCTCGTCGTCCGCACCAAGAAGGACAACTTCCCCCGCTTCGTCTGGGCCAACGACCCCTCCCTCCACCACGACGTCGACCCGGACTTCTGCGCCATGTGGCAGCGCGTCCAGATCCCGTCCCTCGACGACATGCATAGGAAGCTCGTCGCCGTCGGGCAGAAGCCCACGTCCGAGGACCCCCGCAAGGCCGCCCAGTCCGGGCCGGCCAAGCCGAAGCAGCAGAAGAAGAGGGCTGGTAAGCGCGCTGGAAAGGCGACCAATGTCCACATGGCGCATCTCATGCAGGATTACAGTGGGATGAGGAGGTGAATCTTCTCTCTCCTCTTGCCGCTTAGTCTTTTTCGCCGGGGGGGGGGGGGTTGTTTGTTCAATTTTCTTCTTCTTTTTTCTTTTTCCTCGACAGGGAAATGGTGTCTGGGCGTTTGCGAACTAGAATGACGACTGGATATTGCTTGTTTTCTTTAAAAAAAAAAACTGTAACACCACATCAGCTCCTAGTGCATGAATGGTATCATCCATAGGGGCACATATACATATATATACATGCATATATACATACACACACACGTAGAGGTCAAAATGGTGAAATGGTGAAATGTATGAAAAGCGTCACTGATCTGTATGATGAGAGAAACCCTTGCCGGCCCAAAGCCATTATGCTCCTTGATTTGAACACACAAACACAAAAAGAAAAAGATCAACCTGCCGACCCATTTTAGGTCTTTAAAGGATATTAGACTAAGATGAAAATAAGAGCATGAACAGCGGGTGGGGAAGAGAATCAAGAAGATATGATGATAGAAGAGAGAGAAGAGAAGAAGGCAAAGCATGGAAAACTCCTGCCTCCCTTTGGTGTTGATGTTGCCATATAATTCTTTAGAGCACAATGCTTGAAAATCGATGAGAGGGGGGGGGGGGAAATAGTCATGAAGGGGCGTTAGAAAGCAACAGAAGCCAAAGCAGATGAGAAGAGGAAGAGCAAAAAAAAAACAAATAAGAAGAAAAAGGTCAGTTGCCCCCGTTGGTGCGAATCTTGTCAAACAGGTCTTCAAAGACGGACTGATCCTGGTAGCCGCCGACGCGGTACCTCCCCTGCATGGTGACGCAGGGGACTGCCCTGACGCCCCTCTCGACGCTGGCGCTGCGGACCTCGTCGTCGACGCTTATGCCGGCCTCGTGGCTGGCGAGGGCGCGCCTGACGTCGGCGGCATCCAGGCCGGCGGCCTCGACGCCGACCTCGACCAGCCAGTCCCCGTCGGTCAGGTCCCTGCCCTCCTCGAAGTGGCCGCGGAAGAGGCGGTCGACGGTCCGGGCCTGGGCGGCCGGGTCCCGCTGCTGGAGGGCGAGGGCGATGAGCTTGTGGGAGTCACGGGAGGGTCCGGTGCGGCCGGTGAAGGAGAGGGAGATGTTGTAGCGGGCTGCGGCCGAGCGGATGCGGTCCTGGACGGCTTGGAAGTTGTTCGGCTGAGCTTCCTTTTCGTAAAAGGCGGATTTATCGCAACCTGTTTTTTTGGGGGGGTCGTTTGTTTTGTCGTGGTCGTTGTCGTTGTCGTTAGTGCGTGTGTCAAAAAGGAATGTGCGTATAAGTTTGTGTGCAGATTTGTGAGTATGTTTGTGAGTGAGTGAGTGAGTGAGTGAGTGAGTGTGTGAGTGAGTGTGTGTGTGTGTGTGTGTGTGTGTGCTTTTGAGAGAGAAAGAGAGGATATGTATGTATGTGTATATATATATACGTATAGATACAAAAGAGAAGAATTACCAGTATCAAGTAGTGGATAGAGATAGAATGGTCGCCAGAGAACTTCAAATTCGAATTCGGGATGGCTGGTCTGAAAGACCTTGATGGCGGCGTCTAGACTGCGCTTGGCAATGTAGCACCACGGGCAAAGCATGTCGACGTGGACTTCTATCCTGATGAGGACGCCTTTGGTGGGGTGTGAGACGGCCATCTTTTCTTTTTTTCTTCTTTCTTTTTCTCCTTTTTTTTTAAAGGGTGGTCGTCTTCTGTTCCGTCTTCTCTTTCCGATCCTCGTGTGAAGTGATGAGAGTTTTGACACAACGACGGGTGATGATGTATGATACCGAGATCAATGGTGGAGAGGTGTGTCGAGCAAGTCCAGGGAAGATGTGATATCGAGCGGAAAAGAGACAGGGGGGGGTATCGTATCGTATGCGAGGGTATCGTCGAGCTAAAAGCAAGGGCTTGCCTTGGTGATGGGGAGGTTGAAAAGAACGTGTACAAGGGATATTTCGTCAACTGGCCATCATTTATTTTCTCTTCTTTTCCCTTCCCTCTCTTTCTTTCTCAATGACCAAGGAGAAGAAGAGAAGAGAAAGAGGCGGAGAGTGATTCTTTCCTCCTGATGGAATTTCGCCTGCCCCCGGGATTTTTTTTTTTTTTTTTTGGGTTGTCGTTGACACGGTATTGTATATAGGATTGGTTGATGTGTGGGGAGGGGGGTACAAGTCGACGACGTTGATAGGGGAAGTAAAGCAGGAAGTCGGGAAATTGCAGCAGCTAGGAGATGAAGAAGAGGAGCTGAGGGAGAAGAGAGAAGTCTGGATGGAAAGATGGAAAGAGATGTGAAGAGGAAGAAGAATAGACCAGGGATATCAGAGAGAGAGAGAGAAGCAGGAGAGAAGACAAGGAGAGAGAGAGACGGAAGACAGAGACGGAGAGACAGGCAGGAAAAGCCCCGACGTCGGTCACAATATATATGTAACGATGCATCAACGTGGGGGATCCGAGTATTTGGTTACGCACCAAGCCAGGGCTGAGGAGGACGATGTATAAAACCCGTACATTATTAGTTAGTCGACCGGTGGTGCAAGGATAAAACCCCCGATATACGATGCAGGCTAAGAGAAGTCGTCGACTTGTGCATACGTGCAGCATTAGCGGTAGCAGCAGCAGGAGCTGTAGCAAGCGCACATGTTAGACTTTCCTTTTTCTTTTTTTTTCCGAAAAAAAAAAGAAAAGAAAAGAAAAGTCGAGGTACGAGTACGACTACAGCTCGGTCTGAACCTTTTCCCCACTCACCTGGAGAGGAGGAGGAGGAGGAGGAGGAGGGGGGAGGGAGTGTAGTGGAGCAGATGGATCGGGGGTGGGGGGTAGGGGGGGTGTAAGACTTTAGAGAGCGTGCAAGAGAGAGAGAGAGAGAAAGAGAGAGAGAGAGTGTGTGTGTGTGTGTGTGAGTGGAGAGATGGAGATGGAGAGACAACCCCAGCTTGATGGATCTCTCTCCCTCGTGTGTCTCGGCCAGGATGCTGAATTGGATACTATATACAGATTAGTCATGACGGAGAGAAGACTCTTTCCAATTGCAGTTTGGGATCCGGGACAAAAGGGGGGGGTATGTGCAGGGGGGGCCTGGTTTCGTCGTTCCAAGGGGAAAGAAGAAGAGGAAGGAGGAGGAGGAGGAGGAGGAGGAGGAGGAGAAGAAGAAGGAGAAGAAGAAGGAGAAGAACAAGAAGAACAAGAAGAAAAAGAAAAGAAAGAAGAGGGGGGGGGACAGCACATCAGTTCAGTTGGGAATGGCATTTACCGTACGATGGCTGCTGCACTGTAGGACTATAGCTACAGCCATGGTAGAGTAGCTCTCTGAGTATTAGATATCGGGTACGTCTACGTACGCAGTACAAGACTGTCGATGGGTAAGAAACTGCATGGCGACGATATCATTGCATTGTACGAGTGAGAGTGTTCATAGTCGGACTAGTACTGTTATTTACATGTACGGAAACGAAGGAGTATGTGTTTGTGTATGCTGATACTCGTATCGATTGTGAGAATCAAGTACAGAGCGTGTAGTAAAATAGTAAGAAAGTCATACAGCTCTGGCGAGGGGTTCCCACAAGTTGGCCCTCTTGAAACAATTTTAAAATTTTAAAATTTCAAAAATAAAAAAGAATAAAAGCTCAGCTCCTCTGCCAAGAATAGATCACTCGTGTATCACTGCAGCTAATACCAGTCTAGCACTTGAAGAGCGTGTATGAGCTGAGAGGGAGGGAGGGGAGAGGTGGGTGGGAGTCGGACAGAAAAAAAAAAAGAGGCGGATATGCACAAGCCCGTTTTGGGGATCGTACGTGCATCAGAGTGGGCGATCTCCCGGTCGTACGTGATATCAAAATGTACTTCGGGTACTGGTATCGGTACGTGGTGATACGAGTCAAGTACGATGACGAGAATGCTACCAAGATATGCTGTATGCTTTATACACAGCATCAGTAGCAATACATCCATCAGCAGTCAACGTGTACATCTTCTAGCCCCCCCCCCCCCCCCCCCCATGCCCCATGCCCCATGTACGTGATCGCTCCTTCTCCTGCCTCTTTCTTATATATGCATATATGCATATACGTATATATGCGCAGCCTCTAGATGACCCCCTTTAGCCAAGCAAGGCCTCTTCATGACGGGCGGGAGCTGAAGTGGTCATTGATGTGATTGATACCACGCAAATGTGCCTGCGTATATCAATACACGATGCATGAAATGTTGTCCTCATTATTCCATGCATCGTGTAATCGTATACGATGGGGGCTCATGTGATGGATGCCTCGGCAGCTCACCGTGTACTGGCTGGCAGTACTGTTCTATATTTTACTCTACTCTGAAAACATAAGATTAAAATAAAATTAAAATAAAAAATAAAAACGTACGAGGGGCACTACCGAGTATATAAAAGGTTCCCGCCAGCTATGATATGATATTAGCAAGCTGGTGGGAACCGTGGGAACCTGTGATGATGCCTGCTCGTGAGATAAAGGAGAGAGGACCCCCCCCCCCCCCTTTCCTTTCCCCTGACGAGAGACTGAGAATGATTTGTGACGACCAGCCAGCTGGGATGCATCTGACCAACCCATAATACCCTTACCCTTATTACCGACTCTGTTTTTCTCTTTTCTTTTCTTTTTCTTTTTTTCTTTTCTTTTTCCTTTTTCTTTCCTTTCTTTTTTCTTTCCTTTCTTTTTTTTCTTCTCTTCTCCCCCGGTACTCAGCCATTATCATGTGAAAATCACTTGCTCGTCACGGTTGCTTCCTCCTTTGTCACGTCGCACTCTGTATCAGATTCATGGTCCGATCAACCTCTACCCTTGATCAAGGGCGCACCGAGCCATTGGGATTCACCCACACCCACTCACTCACACACACACACTCACTCACACACGCGCGCGCGCGCGCGCACACACAGGTACGCATCACCTACATGCTCATCACGATAATAACAGCAACAGCAACAGCACAGACGCTCACTCACCCATACACGCACGTACGTACGCAGCATACACAGCTTCACAGCTTCCGCTACATGCATGTACTTTTACTCCCAGACAGCCCCAGCTAACAGGTATTATTACTCTACCGTAATGAGATAATACAGCTCCGGCCGCGACGAGTACTATACAACTCATCCCTCATCCACTCTCTCTCTCTCTCTCTCTCCCCCTTCCCCCCCCCTCCAAGTTACCAAGCTCTAGATGCCCAAAAGTCTAGTTTCGTAGTCTCAACCTACGGCTTACAAGTGTCATGATTTATAATCGATCAATCTCTTAGCCTCCGATTTCCGACCAATTCTTTTTCAGTTTTTCCCTTTTTTTTTTCTTTTTCTTCTTCTTTTCCTTTTTTTTCCCTGTAATATTTTATGCTATATCCTCTTAGCTCTTTACTTTCTTTTCTTCTTTTGTATATCACAATATCAACAAATGCCCCTCCCCCCCCTCGCCGGCCCGCTCGATAGGAGTTCAATGACGAGGGATGCATATACACATGACACGACGCGACTCACACACGTACATAATAATAACAGTACTCTTGCCTATCCTGAATCAGTTTCCAGAGTCGGTCGGTGATATCTACTCCGGAAAAGGCACCATCCGTTCCCTCGGATACCACCCGTTCCCTCGGATAGAGAGACGAGAGGCGCAGATACCAGCACCCTTAGCAGAAGACCCAGGGAGGGGGGATCTCATCGACACTCCCAGCGGTAAGGCTATCGCTTTGAATCACCGTGGATTCACAGATACCGACCTGCAAGTACGGGTACACCGTACACGGACGTGAGCATTGTAACGACGTCTAACCAACCGGTCCCCTTTTCTTCTCTTCTTTTTTTTTTCTTCCTCCCTCCCCCTTTTCTTACTTTCAAACGCGGGGAGGCAGAGAAGAAGAAAAAGCAAAGAAGAGATGCTAAATTGCCAAAAAAAAAAATAACAATAATTTTTTAACAGAATAAGATGAATGGATGGAAAAGAAGGATAATGCAAGTCGTACCTTGCTACGCAACGTCTATCGTGCAAGGGGGTAAAAGTATCATAGGAGGGGATAGACGCAGCAACAGCCATCAACGTTAGGTGCTGTCTCAGCATGTACTCCCCCCCTATCTGATACTGCATCGCTGCTGGTGGTAGGCACTCTCTGCGCCTCTGTGCTCGGCACCATGGATACCATGCTCTTCGTAACCAGGAGAGGTGGGAAGGAGGAATACGGTAACCTCTCACTATCATGATTATTTATTGTAACCGAGTAAATGAATACCTGCATACAGAAATCACAATCATGTGTTGCTCGGCAGTAATGATAACGTCACACCGTAGAGGAGAAGAAATAAGATGGGGAAAAAAACTCCACAAGAGGCCACTCTGTACTCGTATTTATCCGAGTAGTAAATAATACGCAAAAAGCCGACGACGACTGGGTAGCAAGTAGGACTACCAGCTTAACCAGCAGCAGTACATACGGAATATCATCATCTGTACTCTGTACGGAGCATCATTACGGAGCATCATTACGGAGTAATACAGACCACGGAGTGCCCGGGGGTGCTGCTACTACTATTAATAATCATCATCGTCATCATCATCATATTGCTATTATTATTAATACCTACCAGCCGAGCTAGACCTAAAAGCATTCCGTCAATTATTTGACACGGTATAATAGCAGCCGTGATGGAGGTATATATTCTCTTATTCTTACAAAAAAAATTCACTCCTCCTTTTTTTTTTTTCCACATGCGGTGCTATTACCGCTAACTACCATCAACTACCATCAACTAATCTGTAATCTGTACTATTGCTTCTAACTACTATTACCAGCCACTGACTACTATTATCAACTACCAACCATGTACTATTATCAGCTACCAGCTACCGCTGCATATTATATACCATTACACCTAAATATACCTAAATATACGGAGTACCTACCTACCAGATCAGTAATCTGATCCCACAAAAACAAAAACAAAACAAAAAAAGCAAACAGCTCATACTCGTAAACTTAAAACACTCGGTAAGAAAAAGAAAAAGAAAAAAAAAACGAACAATACTAGATAAATTACCTTACGGAACGACTACCAGCAGTAATCCATCATTGACTGCTCCCTACTAGTATATCCCAACTAGTATACCAGCTCCGTCTTTCCGTATATTACTGATACGCTCTCTTCCAGCAGTAGTCGTACCGAATATAAATCATCACTCTCTCTCTCCATCACCTCTCCCCTCTTCCAGCCAGGACCCAACCCCTTCGTCAAGATGAGCGATCCAGACTCTCGAAACTGTCATACTTGCGGTAGAAATGAAATCACGTCAAGGTTAAAATAAGATGAGATAAAAGCCAAGAGCCGATACTGCCTCGTAATACGCAGCACAAAGCTGGCGTCTACCCCCGATACGAGATGTACAAATATCCAGTCATTTACTGTCTTCTCATCTCCCGACTCCCTCATCATCATCAACACCGCCCTCATCGAGTTTGAACCACCACCCACCCCCTCCTCCAGATCTCTTTCAGTTTCATCCTTGGATCTTTTTCTCTTCTTCTGCACGCATTCCCCTTGTTTCGGGAGAGAGGGTTGAAGAGGGGGGCTCCCTCTTTCTCTTCTTCTTCTTCTTTGGGCAGCAATGAGCAACTATATTCCCTTAAACCACTACATCTTGCATCTTTCTCTCCCATCTTTTCAGCTGCCTAATTGTCCAATCAGAGGGATATCATGGCACACATGTACACATGTACGAGTATTATCTTTTTGTTTTGAAAAGGAAAAACGGGCTCAGCTCATGTATATTATAACCTAATATTGCGTACTAGGATTTTTTCAATTTTTTCTTCTTTCATATTATCACTCGTTCTTTCTATCCAGCTTGATGTGCTTTCCCTCTCTCTCTCTCTCTCTCTCTCTCTCTCTCTCTCTCTTGTGTATGGCAGAACTGCGTAGATGATTGTTGACATGAATCATGTCCGTTCCATGGCTTTTCATCATTCTTGTCCACCCTTTTTTTATATATAAAAAATCTAAGAAATTTCAGCCTGTGATCCGCAGTGAGCTGAGCTGGATATGCAGCTGGTTGACATATTAACATCGATTGCATGATTACTTGCAGTATTCCTGTCAATGCATCGATCGGTATGTATCCGTATCACATTAAAATGTAGGTCAAGTCATCCTACACCGAAGCAACGCAGGCACAAGACTGTGGTGGTGAGCTGAGCTTCGTACGAGAACAGAAGTCAGCAACGTGAATCTCGTCGTGCACATCGTACACCGAGAGAACACGAGTACAAGAGTAGCAGTGGTCCATGACAGCACCAAGTCGAACTGTTCATACAACAAACTCCTGTCATGATGGTCATCTATCAGACCAACCTTCATCATACACAGAACAAAGACTTGGCATGCCAAATTCATACAGCTTTTTTCATTCCATCCGTCTATAATGCGCTTCTATGTAAAACTGAACAAGAAAAAAAAAAAGATCCCATGCATGATGTATAGAAAAAATTTTCAAACGAAAAATTTTTTTTTGAAAAGGTCAAGTGATAACAGATGATGCAAACCAAGGGAACGGTAAAGATTGGGGGGGGGAGGGGAGGAAGTGACGAGAGTCAAACCGGTCCTGAAAAAGGAAAAACAAGAGAAAGCAAGAGTGTCCTAAAAGGAGACAAAGAAAATCTAAACATCCGGATATACATATACAATTCCATCTCTTTTCCCTCCCTTTTCAAAAAAAAGAAAATGGGGGGATTCGTCTTCATACGCCGTCATTCTTTTTTTTCCTTCTCTTCATAACATCGTCTTTTTCATGAGTCTGTTTAGAGAAGAAGAACAAGAAAGGAAGAAAAAGTACACATATCTTTTGATGATGTGATATACGAGAGACCGAGAGATAGAGAGTAAAGAGAAGGCTCAGCAGAGAGAACTCCCCCTCCTCCGCCCCCCCCTCATCGATCTCAATCCAACCCGATAAACACATCCTCCTAAGCCATGTGTATCAGACCGGGCTCGGGACTCTGCTGGTGCTGACGTCTCATCTGCTGCTGGTGCTGGGCCTGCTGGGCCTGCTGGGCCTGCTGGGCCTGCTGGTGATGCTGGTGATGCTGCGGTGCCGGCGCCGACCCGTAAAACATGTGGCTCATCTGGTGGCCGGCAGGCTGGTATGAGTCACCCGCGTCGGCGTAGACGTATCCTCCCGCCATGGTGGCCGCCGCCGCCGCCGCCGCCGCCGCCGCCGTCGAGCTGCCGTTGTGCGACGAAGGGGACGCCATGTGTGCCGGCGACTGCCACCCCACCGTGCTCATGTGGGGGCTCCCGCTGACGCTGTTCGGTCCGGATTGCGACTGCTGCTGCTGCTGCTGCGCCTCCAGGCTGGGCTCGAGCGTCGAGGGGGGAGGCGGTCCGTAACCGGTCGGGTGCGACGTCGGGCGCATGGGGCTGGGTCCATAACCCGCTGCTACGGCCGCCGCCGCCGCTCCCGACGCCGACACGGGGCTGCCCACCCGTAGGTGCATGGGCAGCGGGCCGTTCTGCAGGTACTGCATGTCACCCGGGCCGTGGCGGCCCATGGCTGCGCCGGCGCCGGCGAGATCCACTGTCGGTGACATCGACATGGTACGCTGACCGGGAGAGGGCGTCGTCATCGGCGATCCGTGGCTGGACAGGTGGTCGCCCTCGGACCGGGCCTGCGACGTGGCCTTGGCGCCCGAGGCTGCCAGCGCCGCCGCCGTGGCGGCCGCGGCCTCCTCGATGGTGCCGCGGTGGCCGTTCTGGTGCCGGTTGAGCGTCGTCCGTCGTGTAAACGTCTTTTGGCAGTTGGCGTACGGGCACTTGTACGGTCGCTGGCCCCAGTGCGTGCGGCGGTGTCGGGCGAGCGAGCTGCTGTCGCTGAAGCGCTACATGCACGAGAGCTTCGTCAGATCAAGGGTCCAAAGGCCGGAGGGTGGTGTATGCTCGTGTCAACTTACAGCAGCGCAAATCTCGCATCGGTGAGGCTTCTCTCCCGTGTGCGTACGCTTGTGCACCGTCAGGGCCGAGCGTTGGATGAACATCTTGCCGCAGTCGGCATAGTCGCAGACGTGGGGTCGAACTCCGGTGTGGATGCGCTCTGCATGGGATCAAACCCGTCAGCACATGTTCCGTCATCCTGCACCGTCTGCCACCCTCTACTCGTCAGTGCTTACCATGTCTTGCGAGGTCGCTGCGCCTCGCGAACCCCTTTCCGCACGTGCTGCACGGGTTCGTCTTGGCCCCAGCCTGCATGTCCTGGGACCTGTCTTGGGGCTGAGGCAGCGGTGGCGGGAGGTGCTGCGGTGCCGGCTGCACGTGTTGCTGCTGCTGGGGCATGCCGGTGCTCATGTCGGGAAAGCCGGCAAAGCCGGTGGGCATCGACGTCGTCGACATGGGCATGGGGTTGTGCATAGGGCCGGGCGAGTGGTAGGAGCGCGAGAGGTGAGAGCCCGAATAGTGTGAGTGCTCGGAGCCGTGGGGGGAGGCTGAACGCTCCATGATGGGGTCGGGCTTCATGAGGGAGTAGTGGTGAGCGGCGTTCTGGTCGACATAGTTGGCCTGCATGTTGTGGTGCTGCATTGCCTTGTTATTGAGCATGCTCCACGGGCCGGTAACCTGAACTGGTGCTATCGTGGTCATTCCTAACGCAGACCGTTCTGGCGCGCTGAGATCTGTGACTTGTTTGGGTTGTCTGAGCTGCTGGTTGGTCGACTCCCAAGGTTTGCGGCGTGGCGTCTCTCAACGTGGCGCGATGGTCAAGTCGCAAGCACGTGTGCCGTCCGGGGAAGAGATCTGTCGTGCAGGGAGGGAGAGGAGGACAGTCTCTTTCTCTCTCTCTCTCTCTCTTGTCGAAGAGAGAGGAAGTTTTGTGACGGAGAGGGAGCTGAATTCTGTTATGCCACGCGTCCAAGGGGTTGTTTGCTGTCTCGAGGTCGACTTTTTTTTTCCAACGTTAGCTAAGAAACGCGCAGGGTGTGATGGAGGGTTAGCGCGTTGTGAAAGAGGGGATAGTAGTATATGAAAACTAGAAGGAAGGTACAATCGAGAATAGATGGCAAAGAATAAAGAAGGAGCTCCGACCAGGTACAAATAAATAAGTGACGAAAGGGTCTTGGGAAGTTTTTGAGGGATTGGGAATAGCCAGGGCCACAAAGCTCTGCAGAGATGTAGTGAAGTAGAAATGCCGGGCAAGTGTCCCCAGGCGCGCGGGCCGCAGATCAAAGGGGAAGGCGAAGAGAAGAAAAAAAAGAAGGAAAAAAAATCAATCGGCGCAGCAGCTTGCTTGTCCCCTGGACAGGGGGAGGGGGGTATCCGACAGGGGGGTGTGGGAGGGGGATGGAGGGGACCCAGGGAGGAGAGAGAGAGAGAGGCAGAGAGACCAGGGTACGAGGCAGCAGCAAAGTGGGAATGGAAGTTTTCTTTTTTAGCCCCAGCGGGCCAATGACATCGGTCAGGACCCTAGTAATAGGAGAAACAGGGGGGTGAGGACCACGGACGGGCTTCCCGGCAGTGGTAAGACGGGGGATATGCAGATATGCACGAGTCGTGCACAATGACATGATGGGAGTTTTCCCTCGTGATAGTACTCCCAATACGTAATAATGGTACCATGGAAGGGGGATGAATTGAAGATTGAAGGTGAAGAAGATGACGAAGAGGAGGAAAGAGCAGAGATTAGGTAATCATGTATTACTCACAGAGTTCCTTTTGATTCTAGTCGATTTGTCGCCGGGGGGGGTTTTTTTTTTTTTTTTTTTTTGGGGGGGGGGGGGGGGGGGGGGGGGGGGGGGGAAGGGTATATAGGGGAAGTGAAGAAGAAAGTGAAGAAGAAGAAAAAATTGCAAAAAAAAAATTAAAAAAAATCAGTTGCTAAGCTGGAGAAGGATGGATCTGGCAGGTGACAATATTATAAGCGGTGACTTGAGGCAGCTGGCAAACAAGTGTATGTTGGTAGTATTTTAGCAGTACTTACTCTAGTACGAGTAATACCACTAAAAAAGCAACGATAGAATAGGAAGAGAAAAAGAAGCAAGAGAAGCAGAAGAAGGGGGGAGGGGGAATGATCGGACCGAGTCAGGTTGTAATGACGTGGCAGATAATGACAAAACAGCAAGCAGACATTTCAGCAGCAACTGTTCAACGTCGTATTCTTTGTTATTGTTGCTATTATCAACACACACACTCTCTCCTCTCGGTATTAATTCGTGAGTCCGTATTATTTCATGGACTGGGGAGAGAGAGA